AGATGGTGACTGCAGCCATGAAATTAAAAGATGCTTGCTCCTTGGAAGAAAAGCTATGACCAACCTAGACAGCATATTAAAAAGCAGAGACATTACTTTGCCAACAAAGGTCCATCTAGTCAAAGCTATGGTTTTTCCAGTAGTCATGTACGGCTATGAGAATTGGACCATGAAGAAAGTTGAGTGCCAAGGAATTGATGCTTTTGAACTGTGGTACTGGAGGAGAATTTTGAGAGTCCCTTGGACTACAAGATCAAACCAGTCAATCCTAAAGGAAATCAGTCCAGAATATTCATCAGAAGGACTGATGCCAAAGCTAAAGCTCCAATACTTTGGCCACCTGATGCAAAGAAATGACTCATTGGGAAAGACCCTGATGCTGGCAAAGATTGACAGTAGGAGGAGAAGGGAACGACCGAGATGAGATGGTTGGATAGCATCACATACTTGATGGACATGAGTTTGAGTAGACTCCAGGAGTTGGTGATGGACAGGGAGGCCTGGCATGCTGCGATTCATGGGGTCGCAAAGAGTCAGACTTGACTGAGCGACTGAACTGAACTGAAAATGTATTTGAGCAAGGGTTAGAAGGAAGTAAAATTATTTCACTTGTTAGAATAGTTGGATTATGCGTGATTTTTCTCTTTTCATTATTTCCATTATTGTTTATAAAATGCTGTGTGTGCACTTTCACACATTTGCTGTGTGTGCAAATCTGTTATGTGCTGGCAGCTGGCATTACATTAAAATACAGGTACAGAGGAGGGCCTACCTTTTCTCAGTTACACTCTGATAATGCTCCTCCTTTGGGCCTTTTTCTGTGGGGTCGCACTGCTCAGAGGGAGCAGGGATGGTGGGCACGGGCAGGGAAGGCAGCCTCTCCGGGAGGATGGGGCAGGTGGTTGCATGTGGTCGTGGAGCGGGGCGGTAGTGGGGGAAGGAGGAGACTCTCCACTAGGAAACAAATGAGGCTTTTCTGTGCCTTTCCACAGGAGGGTTCCGTGTGGAAAATCAGAAGGAGAAGCATCACGGTGGCCCAGCCTCCACGTAAATACTCAGAGCCAGTACCTTTTGTTCCTGAAACCCTAAATTCAGTATGCAGTGTCTGGGTTGCTTTGGTCTCCTAATCCTTTACAAGGAAATCACAATGTAAACTCCCACATTCTGATTACATCCTCTGCTTCACACTGACTCCAAAGGGAGTTGCTGGCCTTCAGGGAAGGAGAGAATTTGGCCGGGTCCACAGAACCAGTCCACAGTGTCTAAGAGCTGCTTCTTCTGTCAAGTGGGAGGACCACAGCTGAAATTTGAAGTGTTTCTTTAAAAAAAATTTTTTTTAAGTACATAAGTCTACCTAAGTCCTTTTATCTAACTCCAAATAATTCTGAAATGGCTAAAGGGAGTTGGGTGGGTATATGATCAGATCCATCTCATCTTTTCACCTTAGTTCTCCTTGCCTCCTCTGGGAAGCAGGCCAGGAACTAAGCAGCCTGGCCTTTAAAAAAGATGATTATCTTACAGTGGAATTTTTTTTAGTTCAGTTTGCTCTTTATCTATTTTCAGCAAAGCAAAGTATGTAAAACTTTGTACATTCTCCCTGGAGCACAAATGTTTTTACTGGCAACATGACAACACATAGGTCTCTAATTGCACACCTCGGGAAGCCTGGATCCCCAGATATTTCAATGGTTTCCAGTTTAAAAGCATATAAATAGTAAGAAACCAATTTCCTTCATCCTCAATTCTAGGTCCTCAACAATTGGGCTTATTTCGTACTATCCCTCAGTGTTGCACTGGTGGGTTCGTCCTTCTGGACTGGCCACGTGTAGTCCTGCCTGTTACCTTCACCAGCATCCTCTTTTCTTCCTCCTCCAGAACAAGCCCTCTTATTTTCCTCCATTGATTCAAGTGGGGGTAGGTTCCCCCAGATCATCTCCACTGTGGGCTTCTCCCCTCCCAGCTGCTTTAGAACTTCCTATGCAGGGACTTCTTCTGGAAACAGCTCTGGCTCTTTCTCACCTCCATATAACACCTGTCTCCCCTTCTCAAGGTGGGGGTGGCATTTTTCCTGGCCTATCCTCCTTTCTTCTTTTCCTCAACTAACGTCCAGCTCTATACCCTCCCAACATGCAGCTCTACTGAGAGCATTTTAGTTTATTTTCTGAGTAAACCCCTTTTACAACAGTCCCCAGATTAGCAAAAGGAAAGGAGCTAAGAGTGTTTTGGAACTTCTGTAATTTTTTGGTGCTTATTGAAGACTTGCTAGTAGGCCTGCAGTAATTCTGAGCTTTCTCTGCTGGGGCAGCACCAATCCCATTCCTTCATGCTGGCTCTCCTCACATACAGGCATCAATTTTCCTCCTGGAACAAGTCAGAACCTCCCACAAACACTTCCTTGATGCACTGGCCAGAGAGGAATAGATTCAAATTATATCACATTTGTTTTAAGATCACTTTAAATAGGGATGTTACCTCATTGTTTTTGCTCTTTTCACACTTTAAAATCCTTGGCTACTATGTTATAATATATTGCTATCAATTAATTAATATTTACATGACTAATGACATAATTTGGATGGGAGTCAAATTATTAAAATAGTAAGACTAGTTTCACTGCTTCTGATAAACCCAGTTTACTAAGCATCCTCAGTGTCTTTATCTCATGTGTTTATCTGAGAAATCGTGCTGAGTTGGAGTTCCTGGATTAGCAATGGGCATACAAAACTAAAAGCTCAATTGTTCTTACTAATAGGACTACCAACTAGGTCATTGTTAGCTACCTAAGGGCTGTCTGCAAGCTTTTGACAGTGAATACTTGGCTTTGACCTTGCCACACTAGTTCAAGAAGGCCAGGAGGGGAAAGCAAATGAAAGCAAACTAGTATTTAAAGGGTACTTGTACATCCTTCTAAACTTCTTCATATTCTAATCCGCAGAACCACCTTCTAAGACAGGTATCATCAGCCTTATTCTACAGATGACAACAGAGACCCAGAGAGTAAAGAGCCCAGCCTCCAGTAATCAAGTGACAGAGGCAGGGCAAAACCGCAGGCTCCCCAATTCTGACTTGGCATAGTTCGTGGTTTAGCCAACAAACGTGGAATCAATCAGTTTGGAGACAGTATATGATGGAACTTTCCCTTTGCCATTCTGTCATTTATGAGGAAATATTTTAGTCCTGTCTTTCTGAGCATTCCTGGTGGCTCAGACAGTAAAGTGTCTGCCTGCAATGTGGGAGACCTGGATTCGATCCCTGGGTCAGGAAGATCCCCTGGAGAAGGAAATGGCAACCCACTTCAGTACTCTTGCCTGGAAAATCCCATGGAGGGAGGAACCTAGCAGGCTACAGTCCATGGGATCACAAATAGTCAGACGCGACTGAGCGACTTCTCTATCTTTCTGAGCATTAAGGGCTTCACAGTAATTAATTAGATGGGGGAAATCTTTCCATAGTGTATACTGTATATGTATATCAAATATTACATTGTTCACTCAAATTTTATTCTTCAACTATGCCTCGATAAAGCTAAAAAAAAAAGCACATCATGGAATTTCAACTGAATATTGAAGGCAATTTTAATCACCTTTAATCACTTACCAATGCCCTCAGTTCCTCCCCAGTCACCTCTCAGAGGGTTAGGACTCAGAGGAAATTCAAAACATGCTGGACAATTTCCAAGTTTAGCAAAACTGAAAAGGTAGGCCACAATGTCATGAAGAGGGGCTATCAGCTGCAGAGTTAGCTTTAAGGCTCTAAAAGCTGCCTGTGAGTAAAATCAATACAAAGAAATAAGTTTCAAGACATTTCTAAGGTGATACAAAAATATATGAGCATTGATTAGGGACAATATATTTAAGAATTTTTAAATAAACATTTTCACAGAATAATACATGATAATAGCTACAGGATAGTATCTGAAAAAGTGAACAACAAACTTTTCATGAACTCGGGTTATATATGTCTTTTGACAAGGTAACTCCTGCTAGGGAATTAAAACAATGTGTTTCTCTTTCTTTAAAGCCATTGGTGGCCAAAAACATATCAAAATATGATTGTATTACCAATGTCAACGAATTACAAAGTTCACAAATAAATTCCTAGCAGGGACTCATATTCAGACAACATTGCCCTGAGGGCTGTTATTTCTTCCTTCCTGTAAGGAAAACATAACTACTTGTCAACATAGTTTAAACACAAGACTAAAAAACAAACAATGAATCTTAAATATCAACATTCAGCAAAGGAAAAGAGAAAAATTATGACTTAACTGCAGAAAGTAGCAGCTTTATATTTTTTAAAAGCCCTAAAAAATTTTCATGGTGAATAAATGAAGTAAAGTGTAGTTCTATTTCTAATTTTTTGAGGAATCTCCACACTGTTTTCCATCATGACTTCACCAGTCGTCATTCCTACTAAGAGTGCACAAATGTTCCCTTTTCTCCACAGCCTCACCAACAGTTGTTCTCTTATCTTTTATAGTAACAGCCATCCTAACAGGTGTGAGGTGATATCTTATCACAGTTTTGATTTGCATTTCCCTGATGGTTAGTGATGTTGAACACCTTTTCATTTATGTGTTGGTCATTGGTATGTCTCCTTCGGAAAAACGTCTATTTTGACCATTTTAAAATCAGATTATAGGTTTAAAATTTTTTTCTTTGTTTTGTTCTTGCTTTTGCTATTGAGTTATATGAGTTCCTGACATATTTTAGGTATATATAGCTTGCAAATATTTTCTCGCATTATGTAGGTTGCCTTCTCCGTCCATTGATTTGTTCCTTTGTCAGCAGAGGCTTTTTTAGTTTGATATTATCTCACTTGTTTATTTGTGCCCTTGTTACCTATGCTCTTGTTGTTGTATCCAAAAAAATCATTGCCAAGACTGGTGTCAAAGAGTTTTTTTCCCGGTTTTCCACTAAGATTTTATAGTTTCCAGTCTTAACAGTTATCTTTAATCCACCTGAAGTTAATTTTTGTGATTGGTGTAAGACAGGGATCCAGTTTCATTCTGTTACATGTAAGATTATCATGTATGATCCAGCAAACCCACTTCTGGGGATATATCAAAGGAAATAAATCAATATGTTAAGGAGATTATCTGCACTTCCATGTAGCATTACTCACAATAGCCAAGATATGGAAACAACCTGAGTGTCCAGTGTATGGATAAATAGATAAAGAAAACATCACACACACAAGCATACACACACACAGGAATATTATTCAGACATAAAAAAGAACTCCCATTTACAACAACATGGGTAAACTCGAATGACATTATGCTAAGTGAAGTAAGCCACAGAGAAAGACACACTATATGATCTCACTCTTATGTGGCATCTAAAAATGAAGGTCAAACTTACAGAAAGGTAATTTCCCCCAGGGGATGGGGGAAATGGTATGATGTGGTCAACAGGTACAAACTATTTATAAGATAAATAAGTTCTGAGGATCTAATGTACAGCATGGTGACTATAGTTAAGAACATTGTATTGTATACTTGAAATTATGTTAGAGTTGGATAAGCATTCTTACCTCCAAAAAACAAAAAAAGTAACTATGTGAGGTGATGAATGTATTAACTGTGATAATCATTTTATAATGTATATCAAGTCATCATGCTGTACAATTTAAATATATACAATTTTATTTGTTAATTACACCTCAATAAGTATTAGATGGGAGAAGGAAATGGCAAGCCACTCCAGTATTCTTGCCTAGAGAATCCTGTGGACAGAGGAGCCTGATGGGCTGCTGTCCATAGGGTCACACAGAGTCGGACACAGCTGAAGCGACTTAGCATGCATGCATGCATTGGAGAAGGAAATGGCAACCCACTCCAGTGTTCTTGCCTGGAGAATCCCAGGGACAGAGAGGCCTGGTGGGCTGCCATCTATGGTGTCGCACAGAGTCAGACACGACTGAANGAGGAGCCTGGTGGGCTGCCATCTATGGTGTCGCACAGAGTCAGACACGACTGAAGCGACTTAGCAGCAGCAGCAGCAAGTATTTGTTGCTCAGTCACGTCTGACTCTGCAACCCCACGGACTGTAGTAGCCCTCTGTCCATGGAATTCTCCAGGCAAGAATACTGGAGTGGCTTGCCAATCCCTTCTCCAGGGGATCTTCCTGACCCAGGGACTGAACCAGGATCTCCTGCATTTCAGGCAGATTCTTTACCATCTGAGCCACCAGGGAAGCCCCACACCTCAAAAAAGTTGGGGGGGTGGGCGGGAGAAAGGGTGAGAAACCTAGATTGCTAAACAGGTTTTCACTTAAAAAGAAAAATCAGAATGTTTGCAAATTGCCATTTTCAAAACTGCATTTTATTTAGTTAATACTTGAATGCATTATGTATTTCTATATCTATTCTTTTTTTTTTAATATATCTATTCTTTTTAATGGTTACCCTTTATCAGTAAATGAGACATTTAGACGAACTCCTCAAAAAACAGGAACCAGCTAATTACTGTGATTAAGTGTGAGCTCAGCTTCAACACATCAGGGTGGGGTTTTCTTGGCGCTGGGGAGGAAATTAAGGATTAATAAGGAGTCTCAGAAGCTCCATTAGTGTTCAGTAATGACCACGGAGAAGGAGGACGATGAAATAACGAGGCACAAGGGAAATTATAATAAAGCAAGCAAAAATATGAGAAGCTGAGAGATTTCAGCTATTAAATGTTCCTGGGAAAAAAAACCCAACAAGAGATATTCTCTGAAACTGACATGTTTAACTGGGGGACATAAAAACAGCCAGTTTCCATTCTGGCACACATAAAAAAATACAAACCTTTTCTGGCAGAGTTTTGAACATAACCAGCACTTCAGAAGGATGGGGTATGAACCATAAGTTGAGGAAGACTTTCCCATCAGCAGACAGCAAACGCCGTGGCCGGGGCTGAAAACTCCTGCGGTGTGAGAAGAGATTTCCAGTAGCACAGTGTTTCTCTCTCTAAAGGGGGCTCCCAGTGTGAACTATTTATACCTCCACCCTCCAGCCGCAGTGCCAGAGCCCGCACTGCAGTGACACACACATCCAGTGTCTAAGCCCGAGGACAGCAGGACTCCTTTTCAGGCAGCTCACAAGGGGACACAGTTATAAATAACTCACCAGGAGAAGAGCAGTTGGGCTGGTTTTAGCCTCAGCTGTGTTGGGAGGAAAGCGTGGGCACAGACGCAGGGAAAGGTGTGATAGGAAAGGAAGCAGAGACGGCATGAATTAGGTGCTGACACCATACTGGGGGTGACAATTTTCTCACTTAATTCTTATGATAAACTTGGGACATTCTGATGCTGTTCTTGGTTCATAGAGGAGAAAACGGAGGCCCTACCAGGTTAGAGATGAGATGGTTGGATGGCATCACCAACTCAATGGACATGAGTTTGAGTAAACTCCTGGAGTTGGTGATGCCATCCAACCATCTCATCCTCTAACCTGGTAGGGCCTCCGTTTTCTCCTCTGTGAACCAGGAACAGCATAGGAACTGTTTTGATTGAGCATCACCAACTCAGTGGACATGAGTTTGAGTAAACTCCTGGAGTTGGTGATGGACAGGGAGGCCTGGCGTGCTGCAGTCCATGGGGTCGCAAAAAGTTGGACACGACTGAGCGACTGAACTGACTGACTGACTGACCAGGTTACAAAGGTCTTGCTTAACCAACTTGTTAGAGAAGTTGAGATTTAAGCACAGATGTGTCCAGTTCTAGAATTCAGGCTCTGGAGACCAACCTCTGTTTTCCTTCCTTCCCCACCAGATTCCTGTCAAGGTCTCCCTCCTCCTTCCTATATTGTGCTAAGCCTCTTCAGTTGTGTCAGACTCTTTGAGACCCCATGGACTGTAGCCTGCCAGGCTCCAGTGTCCATGGGATTCTCCAGGCAAGAATGCTGGGCTGGGTTGTCATGCCCTCTTCCAGGGGATCTTCCCAACCCAGGGATCAAATCCACATCTCTTAAGTCTCCTGCATTGGCAAGAGGGTTCTTTACCACTAGCTGCCACCTGGGAAGCCCCTCTTCAAATATTGGGTTGGCCAAAAAGTTGGTTCAGGTTTCCCCATAAGATGTTACAAAAACTTGAATGAAGCTTTTGGCCAACTCAATACTTTATCATTTCTTAGGCACTAGTATAGCAGTTTTTTTGTTACAAACATAATTCATATGTGTCTGGATTAAGGATTCACACAAGCCCAGTTGCCTACTGTCTCGCCTGGGGTATAGAACATGGCCAGCTCCTCTGAAGCCCTACAGTTCCTCAGTCCCAACCTGCTCCACCTTGGCTGGCAGTGACTCAGACCACCTCAGTCAAAAAGGGCAAGAACTGAACTCCTCACCCCCATCCCCACCCTGATCCTGGGCTTCGTCCTGTGTTAAGAGAACCATAACCTCCAAGTCCTCAAAACCAGAATCCAGGGGTTTTAGATGCTTCCTTCTTTACCCCTCAGGTCCTATTGACCCCATAGCTCTCTTCTGCACAGTTTCCATTCACACTCCATTGTCTATAGCAAGGACTCTCAATGGGAGGGTTTCACCTTCTAGAGAGCATTTTGGAAATCATTGGGCCAGTTTTTGATTGTCATTATTTCTGGGTCCTTAGGAGAGATTCAGATGACTCATTTCATTTCCTAAAATAAAATGTAATTCATTTTAACTGAGATCTAATGTTTTCCATATCAAACATTCTGAATATGAAACCTAAAATTTTTAAAACACTGCTTGGGTTAGTCTCAAGCCTCAGGGTTTTAATTAGGTAATTTGAAGTTCAGAAACAAAGTATGGTGGTGTTAGCTTGGAGAACTCTTATTTCAGCCACCAAATGTCAGACTATCCTGTCCTGGAGCAGATCAAAACCAGGTTAATCTGGTTTTGATCCTATCTCTGAAATTTACTCAAAGGTGCTCCAAAGAAACACTGACAATCAACAAGGAGCACAGCCAATCACGTGAACTACACTCTCACTAGCACATTCAATTCTTTATTTCTTTGTAGTTACAGCCCATCTAGCAAAACCCCAACTCTGGATCCCTCTAGCTAGTCTGCTTTCTGCTTCTAGGCACATGTTGCTGAGCACAGCTGGAGGAAATCACACTGCTAATTTTATTGATGCAACAAATAAATGGCTTCCAGTCTGAGCTGTGTCACGCCAGGAAAAACTGGTTTTCTTTCCTTTGATCAGCTCTCATGTCCATTTCCTTTTTTCAGTAACTCCAAATCTTCCTTAAGCCTCATACCAGATTCCTAGCAGCAGATGATGACATGGTCTATTATTTCATAATTGAATCAAAGGGTCTGGAACTGCCTCCACTTCCTGAGGGCTCATTTTCCCCCCTCCCCATCCTCTCTTTCAAGCCAAGGTCCAAGGCAGAGGTACACACCCAGGGTATGAAGTGAAGATAGGCTCTGCCCTCAAGGATCTTACATGCCGGAGGCAGCTAGACCTGCAAGCATGATGCTGTGATGGATGTGTGGAGGAATGGAAGTATGTGAAAGTGAATAACATCTAGAATAAGAAGAGTCTGAGATTTGTTGGGAGACCAAGGGAAGAAATTCATAGCTGGTGCCTCTGAGCTGTGATTCATTATCTCCCCTTCCACATCTGTCCTCTTAATGGCATGACCATTCTTTTTTCCCCTCATTAAAAAAATGTGATAAAACATACATAACATGAAATTTACCATTTTAACTGTTTTTAAGTGCACATCTCAGTGGCATTAAGTACATTTACACTGTTGTGCAACCTACCACCATTTATCTCCAGAAAAAAAATTTTTTCCATCTTCCAAAATTGAAATTCTGTATCCATTAAACAACAGCAAGACTACCATCTTTTTATTCACAAGCCAGAGGGACTCTGGGTAACATCATAGATTCCTCTTCCTTCTCCTCATTCAGCTCTGCATTAAATCCAGCACCTAGCTGATTTAACTTCACTAAACATCTCCTGTCTGTGCAGTTTGAGTAGGTTCCTAGATGGTCACCAACAATCATCTTGCCCCCCTTCTCCCTGTTTGAAAGTGAAAGTGAAAGTTACTCAGTCATGTTCAACTCTTTGCAAGCCCATGGACTGTAGCCCGCCAGGCTCCACTGTCCACGGAATTCTCCAGGCAAGAATACCGCAGTGGGTTGCCATTTCCATCTCCAGGGGATCTTCCTGACACAGGGATTGAACCTAGGTCTCCTGCATTGCAGGCAGATGCTTTGCCATCTGAGCTACCAAGGAAGCCTGTTTGTTGAAGGCCAAAGAGCAGACTTCTGGATCTTGCCCTTTGCACTATCCATTCTGCTTCCCCAACTCATCCTCATATACCCGGGAACAGGAGCCACTGGGAGGTCCACACGGCTGTCTCATGTCATGAGGTATGCTGTCTCATATCTACGTGGGGCTCCCAGTTTGAACTGAATTTCTTTCCCTGTCCACCTGAAACACTAGTCTTTTCAAGACCCAGGTTAAGTGTACTCCCTTCCCTGAAGCCCACCTAGTTCTTCATCCCCACCTCCCTGATCCTTCAGATAATACTGAATATTTCTTGGTTCTTTCGTTATCCTTTAATTTTATTCTTTATCACAACATTTGGTCATTGTCTATTTCCTCTTGCCTGAAGGGCAAGAACCATATTTAATTCACTGCTATACAGCTCTTGGCATCAAGGCTACCATGTACCATTGTTCAGTTTGTGTCCTGAGGCAACCAGCAGTAGCTAAAATCCAGTCTATACTTGACTTGCCAAACTCTGCACCCTGGCCTGGGACTACCCCTGCCCAAAGGAAACAGTACTTTTCTTATAATCCTCATAAAGCAGCCGTGTGGGAGAGTGGTGGGTCTGCCTGTCACACAGTAAGGGCTTGAGTATTAGTGTCCTCTCTCCCTTCTTCAGTCACCCATCAGCCAACACCACTACTCCTTGCTCCTGGGAGTATGGCCAAGTGTCAGCCTAGTCTCCAGACTCCAGTCTCCCCTAGAGCCATGAAGGGCACAGAGCCCTCATGAGGCATCCATCTTTGGAGGAGAGCCTCCCCTGGCCCCTTTTCTATTTAGGTTCTGGTTCAGAGGCAGGGTGTCTCTGCTAAAACTAAACACTATGTTTCAGCCCTTTAAGGATTAAGTAGCGTCTTAGACTTTTAAACCTATAGGATTTATGGGACTCTTCTAGTCAAGGAGATGGCCAACACAAGCAGGGAGGCCTCCTTTCTTCCTTTCCTTGACCATGGTCATTGTCAATCAATCACAACAATCTCACAAGCTTGGGGTGTCTTAGAATCCTTAGCAGGACACTAATACATTGTTGAATCGACATTTAATATAAAATATTTATTCTTAATATAACCCAACTCCTTATTTCAGGAATAAGGCAAGGACCTCTATCCATGACCCTCATTCCTCAACTCTGTCCCTTCATCTTTAGCTAATCTTGACCAGAGTCAATGACATATTTACCTTTGCAACTCCAATATTCATAGCAAAGTGCTTGATACTAAGTAAGCACTGAACAAACAATGGTTGAATAATCCATGAATGATAAGGGAGCAAAAGAGTGGTCTGATACAAGCGGTCTTTCAATTCCCTTCTATCTTTCTGTTCTGTGGTCATATTTATTAAGTATTAACCTTACTCAGCACTAAACTCTCTGCCATGCCATAAGGGAAAGAGTAAGGAGGGAGTCAACTTTACCCTATAGGGTGTTTCTGCTCGCTCTTGGAGTCTATGTAACTATGTAACACCCCCTTCTTTTCCTTAAAGGAAATGTGGTCACTTACAACAAACGTATGCCAACTCCTCCATCCAAGTGAGTGAACTCTAGGTAGGCTGAATTAAGAACATTTGGAAAACTGGACAAGGCATGCTAAGAAAGTATAGAAGCAGCTCCACTCTTATCACTTAATATCTATCTGTCTATGTATCTACATATGTATGTATGTATCTATCTATCTATCTATATATCAGAGAAGTACAGGACATTGATTTACCCAAAGCACTGAAGTTTAGTTTTTTCCTGAATATTTCTTCTACTTCACTGAGTAAAATACTCAAAGCCACAACAGTTCTAGACTATGTCTACTTATTTGTTTGCTTATTTTAGATTTTGGCTTATGTAAAAGGGTGTGACTGATGAAAATTTCTGGGTACTCCAGGGCAAAACAAAACTTCATAGATTGAAAAAGCAATCATACAGCTCATAAACAAAGAACTCCCTCTGTATTCAAATACAAAGATACTCTTATTCTTAGAGTATTAACTCTTTCTTTTGCCCTTCTGGACAGAAGATCAAGGTTAAATACCAAACTTAATAAACCTCTCCCCTGGGAGGAGTGGGGAGAGGATGGGGGAATAACAAGCTCGAAAGAAAATTCCACACCTAGGGTCATTCTTGAGGCCATCATCGGAGTCCCTCAACCCCTTCTTTTCTTGTCGTTGTCCCACCATGAAAAAAGTATCTCTGATGGTAGGGAAATCGTCCAGTAGGGCTCTCAGGCTGTTGCAGTATGCTATGATCTGCCCCCGAAGAGCATAGTGAGACATATGTTGGTTGAACCTGAAAAGTCAGAAGAAGAGATAACGTGCAGAGGTGAATTCAAGTTGTTCAGTCTCTCACAGAAGTTCGAGGATCCAACTCCCTGGAGACTTTTCAAAGAGAATAGAGGACTTCTGTCAGGAAGAAACTTCTGACTTGGTCAGATTGCTATTGCCTGAACACACAGGCATGAACCTCTTCCAAGTGCCTCTTACCTGTCATTTCTGATGCTGCTTCCTCTGTGTGTCAGAGGACAGTTCAATTTGCTTTCATCCAGGAAACATTACTATGAAAAAGATAGTGGAGGTGATGGAATTCCAGCTGAGCTATTTCAAATTCTAAAAGATGATGCTGTTAAAATGCTGCATTCAATATGACAGCCAATTTGGAAAGCTCAGCAGTGGCCACAGGACTGGAAAAGGTCAATTTTCACTCCAATCCCAAAGAAGGGCAATGCCAAAGAATGTTCAAACTACCCCACAATTGCACTCATTTCACATGCTAGCAAAATAATGCTCAAAATCCTTCAAGCTAGGCTTTAACAGTATGTGAACCAAGAACTTCCAGATGTACAGACTGGATTAAGGAAAGGCAGAGGAACCAGAGATCAACTTGTTGACATTAACTAGATCATAGAAAAAGCAAGGAGATTCCAGAAAGACATCTACTTCAGCTTCATTGACTACACTAAAGCCTTTGACTGTGTGGATCACAACAAGCTGTGGGAAATTCTTAAAGAGATGGGAACACCAAACTACCTTACCTGCCTCCTGAGAAACCTGTATGCAGGTCAAGAAGCACCAGTTAGAACCAGACATGGAACAACAGACTGGCTCAAAACTGGGAAAGGAGTACGTCAAGGCTGTATATTGTCACTCTGCTTATTTAACTTATGTGCAGAGTACATCATGAGAAATGCCGGGTTGAATGAGGCTCAAGCTGGAATCAAGACTGCTGGGAGAAATATCAATAACCTCAGATATGCAGATGATACCACCTTAATGGCAGAAAGCAAAGGAACTAAAGAGCCTCTTGATGAAGGTGTAAGAAGAGAGTGAAAAAGCTGGCTTAAAGCCTAACATTAAAAAAACTAAGATCATGGCATTCGGTCCCATCACTTCATGGCAAATACATGGGGAAACAGTGGAAACAGTGACAGACAATTTTCTTGGGCTCCAAAGTCACTGCAGACGGTGACTGCAGCCATGAAATTAAAAGATGCTTGCTCCTTGAAAGAAAAGCTATGACCAACCCAGACAGCATACTAAAAAGCAGAGATATCACTTTACTGACAAAGGTCTATCTAGTCAAAACTATGGTTTTTCCAGTAGTCATATGTGGATGCAAGAGTTGGATATAAAGAGGGATGAGTGCTGAAGAATTGATGCTTTTGAATTGTGGTATTGGAGAAGACTCTTGAGAGTCCCTTGGACAGTATGGAGATCAATCCAGTCAATCCAAAAGGAAAGCAACTCTGAATACTAATTGGAAGGACTGATGCTGAAGCTGAAACTTCAATCCTTTGGCTACCTGATGCAAAGAGCTAACGCACTGGAAAAGACCCTGATGCTGGGAAAGACTGAGGGCAGGAGTAGACAGGGACGACAGAAGATGAGGTGGTTGGATGGCATCACCGACTAAATGGACATGAGTTTAAGTAAACTCTGGGAGATGGTGAAGGACAGGGAAGCTTGGTGAAGGACTGTGCTGCAGTCCATAGGACTGCAAAGAGTTGGACATAGTGTCTGAACAACAACAATAGGACTGTTAAATAGGCTTATTTAAACACAAACCAGCTAACTAATTGTCCAGATTTCTATATAATACTGCTGTTTATTGAGTTCAGAGTCAGAAATCAGATTGTATAGTTTACATATATTATACTCACTTCTGGCAATATTCAACTATAACATCTCTCTTGACTTTCCCAATTTCATCCTGTGATAAAAGAGAATGACAGTTTTCCTATTAGACAATTGGCTGTAATAATTCCCCAAGCTAATACATGTGCACAAACTTATAGCCAACTTAAAGTGGGAGAAGGTCACACAGTTGAGATGTTCTTTCTGAAGGTCAACCTATTGGGAGGTACTCCCACTATGGGTCTTTTCTACTCCTGCACATCTTGTGAGTACACCAAGAATTCAACGCCCTGATCATTCTTTACCTGAACCATTTCTCAGGGTTATGTTCAAAGAGAGCAGTCTGGAGGGATGAGGTATTGTCTCCCTCCATGAAATAGAGCAAGTTTGCTATAATAGAGGTAGATTCCTAAACTCAATATTCTTCAACTGCGACACAAAACTGTGTACAACCTCGGCTCCTCCATGTTGCCCCTGTGGGACTTGGGAGGCAGAGAAATGACACAAACATGAGGCTCATGACGCTGGCTCTGCTGTGAGTAACAAAGTTCTTTTTCTCTGACCTAAGAGTCTAACATTCGCTGTCAGCATCCTCAGAGCAGTAACAGGCTACCTTCTTAGCTTATAAGTAGGCTAAAATCCCAGACCTTGAGAAAACTGACAATGATCTTGCCTGAATCCTTTCTAATCTGATAGACACTGGATATTACTGAAGGGCAGTTAATGAGCTAATACATTTTCACTTGGTTAGTATTTTTTTAATATTATAAAGAGTAATTTATGTATCAAAGTAATTTACTTAAGTACCTATCAGAAGGAGTCGTTTGCCCACATCATTGAGCAGTAATCTAGAAGGCCTAGCTTCCATCACAATCAATTTGTAGAACTGGATTAGGTAAATTGAAGTCCTTCCTTTTCAATCATAAAAGAACAAAGCCTAGAGATGATAAACCTCGTCATTTCATTCCCAAATAACTATATATTAGCCTAAGGACTTCCTCATCAAAAAAGTAATGAATAATGAAATAATATTCATAAAATTAAGCAGCACTTTTAATTGACTAAAGGTTTAAATTTTATGGAGAAGGAAATGGCAACCCAAAGGCTGCTGCCGCTACTGCTAAGTCACTTCAGTCGTGTCCGACTCTCTGCGACCCCATGGACTTCAGCCTACCAGGCCCCTCTGCCCATGGGATCCTCCAGGCAAGAGCACTGGAGTGGGTTGCCATTGCCTTCTCCGGTACCCACAGGTTAGGTTAGTATAAAACCATTAAATAGAAACATGGTCGTAGTGTCCGAAAAACATAGTGGTTATATCACCAACCTAACAGGTGAATTCTAGATGGCAAATGCCCTTGCTCACCTTGTCTAAACCCCTAAGTACCTGTGGGTCACTGAGGAACCACCAGATGTTTCCAAGTAGGTACTGAAATTCTTTCTGTTTAGAAAGTGGCAAAGCAATACGTGCCCTTGGAAAAATGTACATATTTTTAAAACTAGACTGCAATTAGCTTGATTTCCTTCCTTTCTATTTCTTATTGAACTTTTCCAGTTCTTTATATTTTCAATGGTTTTATCCAAATAGGCTGAAAGCAACAGGTTCCAAGTTAAGGATTTCTTACTTGCTCAAATGTAAAAGATGATGAGATCTTTAGGGAGCCCTTCTTACTATACTCACAAGGTTTTTCATTCTGTCAGCCATGGCTTGTTTCCTGAGGAGGAAGGCATTCAGCATCATGTCCCGCAGCCCCACCTTTTCTAGTTGAATAGACACGAAAGCTTCCGGAGCCCTGACAAGTGAACAGAGGCATGTGAGCCCAAGGCAGGAGACGAGTGCACACAGAACCAGAAGACAACTTGAGGTTCTCTGACTGACAGGAGCACCCGGGGATGCAAACTAGGCACTGCGGCAGGAGAGCAGGTAGCTCTGCCTCTGTGGTCCTCACTTGCTCCAGGTGTTTCACTGTTGTTCACGGGGCATGCTGCTGTGTCACCATCCTTCTTGGGGACCACACTGTCCCTAGAGCATGCACCAGCAGTCCGTCCCCACTCCCAGACTTCATAGCCTGGCCCAGTGTTTGTACTCCCAGTGTCCCTTTGTGCCTTCCTGGTCTGAACTGTAGGGGTCCCTGGACTGATGTGGCCTTGTAAGGTTCCTCTTGACTAGACACATTGGTCTTAATTCTCCCATCCACACACTGGAAATGTGGATTTAGGACACTTGAACTCTGGCCATGTGTCAGATTAATGGCATCTTGAGGAGTAGAGAAGATTTGCCTGTCATTTTCTTTTTCATTCTAAATTTGCCAGGATTAGACTAGAGTGTCATTGGTATGCCTTAGTTATTCAGAGTATTTGTAATTATTACAGAATACAAATCTCTTTCTTTGTCACAGTGAGAAGAGATCAGGATATAACAGGATGTCCCTAGTTTATAGATACATATCTGTAGAGGCCCTGCCTCTCTTGACAGTTACCATTCTATTATTCTAAGCAATGGAAAAAACCCTTGGTAGGATAGTGAGGGTAGTTCTGTCCTTTTCTGTTTAAAATAGAAGTGGAAAACTTGTACATGCTCATACTCTTCTTCCTTATGTTCTACCTTCTTTGGAGTTTGAAAAATAGAGAGGGAAGGAGGGAAGACAGGAAGAGAAAGATAAAGGAGAAGAGGGAGAAGAGAAAAGAGGTTGAAATTGGGAACTGTTGACTCTCCTTCATAGACTGGAGCATATTAGAAGAAGCTAAGCCTTCTTAGTGTTCACACAATGTTTTCAGAAAAAGTCTTAAAAATTTTAACACATGCTGGTCACTCTGGGAGTTTAGGCATACTTCAATCCCATAATACTTGTATTAAATGACTTAAAAGAGGATACTTTTGTTATTATAAACAACCCCCCACTGCTCCCCCCGTGCAGTACCTTTTGGTAGCCTGGAATCTTTTTGAAGGATGAGTAAGGGCATCTGGGACTTTTGGAATTGGGGCCAACAGCATGCCTTCTATGCCATTCACAATTCTGGAATTTCTTCTTCTGGTTGGACCCACTCCATTATGGTTTCTCAGATCAGAACTTATTTCCTACAATATTTCAAACCAAAGTGAATAAAAGTTGTTGAATTTTTAAGTCTTGCGGTACTGTCGGTAAAATTATCTAACAGCTATAACTGATCCCAAATACATGTAAATGGCTGGGTACCCTAGGGGTGAGAGAGAGTGTAAGGGAGAGAAGAGAAGAGAAAAAGTAAGGGAGTGCATGGAAGAGACACCACTGTGTACAACGAAAGGGCGAGGCACTAAGTGTGCCTATTTCCAGAACAGAGTTGTCTAAAGTGCTCTCGGAAAAATTTCTCCATCTTACAAGGTGGCTAGCTGGAGTGCTTTGTATAGGGGCCTCTCAAGAAACACAGCTGATGAACTTCAGGGCACAAGATCTGAAAAATCATCTCAGGGTGCCATTCTGGTACAACCTAAGCAGACGGAGGTGGGCTGTATATGCTGTCCTGTACAATGTAATAATGAAGGAGGAAGAGGTGGAGGGATAGTGGGGGAGAGGGGAAGGAAGAGTGGGGGAAAAAAAGGGAAATCTGTATCTTCCAATATTCCTATTATTTATGGAGCTACAAGGAAAGATAGATAGGATTCTTTTACATTTTTCTAAAATACTAACTAAAAGAAAAACATTAAGCCTTCAAAGGAAAGCCCATTCTTTTTCAAAGAAAGAAAGTTTTCCACAGCTGAATTACTGACGGAAAGGAAAATGAGACAAAAGAAAAAAAATCTTGAGTTAAAAAGTCTAAAGTTTCCATCTTGATTTTTTCTGAAGACTCTTGGGCTATCCAAGTCTCCTGAAAATAGTAGAGTATACTAGTTCAGAAGACACAAGGGGCCTTAGAAAGCATATGAGTGAGCTAAGAGGAAAGAAAACAAGCTCTGTAATCAGAGTCCAGTGCTGACACTCAGAAGGTGATCTTGGCTCTGTCCCTTAACCTATCAGCCTGTTTCTTCACCTGGAAAGAAAGGGTAATGTCCTCCATCTCCTAGGGCTGTTCAGAGCGTTCCATGAGTCCAGGCTCATCCATCACTTAGCTTACCACCATGCCCGGACAATAGAAACTGCTAAATTGAACCCTTAATTCCTTGACTCCCTCAACTGCATTGAAAATCCCAACTATGATGATCTTTTGTTTCTATCCTCAATTTCTTTTCCAGTCCCTTCCTACAAATATGATTACATCTATTTTATTCTTAATTCTCCTAACCCTCAAGTTTCTTTTTTAATTCTGACCCAACTTCTTAAAGAGTTATGATGGACTAAATGTTTGTGTCTCCTCATAGATTCTTACGTTGAAGCCCCAACCCCCAATGTGATGGTATTTAGAAATGGGGCCTTTGGGAGGCAATTAGGGTTAGATGATGTCAAAGGGCAGGACCCTAATCTGATAGGGCTGGTAAAGCTGGTATAAGAAGAAGAAGAGACACCAGGACTTTCTTTCTGCCTTGTGAGGACAGTGAGAATGTGGCCATCTGCAAGGAAGAGAACTCTTACTAGAAACAGACACGCTGGCTCCTTGATCTTGGACTTCTAGCCTCCAGAACTGTGAAAAAATAAATTTCCATTGTTTAAGCTACCAGTCAATACTATTTTGGTATGGCTTCCCGAGCAGACTAACACAGAAGCTGTAAATATTCTGTGCTTCTACGTTTCTGTCATTCTCTTACTTCTCTACTCTGGTAGTCTGGCTTTCACTCCAACCCCATTAGAATAGCTCTCTCAGAGTCAGCAATGAACTTCTGAGAATGTAAAATAGCCTAATTTTAATTCCTGCTCTTCTTGTTCTTCCCTCTACATTAAATTCAACTTCCTCCTCCTCCTCCTAAAATATAATAGCTTTATTTAGGTATAATTGACATTTAGTATACACAAAGTATACAGTAAATTAAAGTATAAAGTAAATTAGATAAGTTTGGACATAAGTATACAACTGTGAAACCATTACTGCAATAAAAATAAAGACCATAGCCATCCCTCCTACCTAGCCCACTTCCTCAAGCAACCACTGCCCTGCTTTCTCCAACTATAGATTAGAATGCATTTCCTAGAATTTTATATAAATGGAATCATGCAATTATACATATATATATTTTTGGTTTGGCTTCATCCATATTGTTGTATATGTCAACAACTCATTTCTTTGTATTGCTGAGCAATATTCCAGTGTAAAATATACCACAATTTATTTATCTATTCACCTGGTGGTGGACATTTGGATTTTTTCTAGCTCTTAGCTGTTTTAAATAAAGCTGCTATAAACATTTACATATGTCTTTGTATGGACATGTGCTTTCATTTCTCTTAAGTAAATACCTAGGAGTGAAATGGCTGAATCATATGGTAAGTATATGTTTAACTTTCTAAGAAACTCCCAAGCTGTTTTGCAAGGTAACCATTTTGCATTCCCATCAGCAGTGTATGAGTTTTAGATCTTCCATGTCATGCCAAGACTCAGAACAGTTAGTTTAAATTTTAGCCATTCTAGTGGGTATGCAGGGGTTTCTCACTGGACTTTTAATTGCATTTCTTGAATAATTAATGTGGTTGAATATTATTTATGTGTTTATCTGTCACCTGTTCATCTTCCTTGGTGACTCATTTCTTCTTGAAACACTCTTCATCTTTGGCTTGGACACAGTAACAATTTTATTTTCTCTCTGTTTCTTTCCTTCCTTCCTTCTTCCTTTCCCTTCCTTTCCCTTGTTTCCTCTCAATGTCGCCATCATTTATTCTTCCTTACTATATCATTAGACTTCTTCCTGTCCTACATCTGTAGAAGAGTATATAAATATACACACACACATATATAAAACTCACATGTATTACTATATATATTCATGTATTCATATGTATACATATATATACACACATATATATATAAAACCCTAGTGCCTCTCTACCCTTCCTTGTGCTATGTCTTTTCAGGCTATTACTCTAAATGCCTTCCCACCCCTGTCCTATCTTCCTATTTGGTGACTTTCACCACTTACTTCCTAGAGGAATCTCAGGAAGTGACTTAAAAGCCTCTCAACCTGGAAAAACCCCATTTATATCTGTTTTACATATTGGTGTTATTCATAAGATTAATTGAAAAAAAGATTCCATATGTCAACTATGCATGAAAACCACAGGTGGGGCCAAGCTGGGCATCCATTTTTTCCTAAGACTCATTTATCTTTTCATGCTATGCTTGAGCATCAGAAGGTCTTCTCTCTTCTCAAAATGATCACATGGTCATCTCTGCCAGTCAAAACACTCATCCTTCAAGTTTTTCCCAATGTCCCTACTCTGTGCTGTCCTTTCTGGTTCCTCAGATGTGAGCCCTCTTTTTTAAAAATTCCTTCTATAGCTTGTTGAACTTCTATTATTCCTTGTATCTGAACCACTTTGAGCCTGTCCACATTTAATACACCAGATATAATTTCTCTAGTATTCTTGCCTGGAGAATTCCATGGACAGAGAAGCCTGGCAGGCTATAGTCCATGGGGTCACAAAGAGGTGGACACGAGTAAGTGACAAACACTTTCATTTTCACTTAATGAATCAGATCTCAGTGTTATCTGATGAGTCTAACTTAAAGTAGGTACTGAATTAAGATTTGAGGGGTTGAATTTTTAAAAATCAATATAACCTACTCTATCCTTATTGTCTACTTCAGTATTTGATTTCTATGGGAATTAGTATTTGGCAGTAGAAGTGAAGATTGAATATCCTTGCCATACTTATGAATGTATACTCTTTTGTTAATGTAAAGAGTGAAAGTAGAGAAATGTGCTAAGAGGTAAAATGTGGTAAGCTGTATAGAATTCATATATCAAGAATATAGATGCTGGGAAAGATTGAGGGCAGGATAAGCAGGTGAGCGGATGAAATGATTGGATGGCATCACTGACTCTATGGACAAGAGTTTGAGCAAACTCTGGAAGATACTGAAGGACAGGGAAGCCTGGCGTGCTGCAGTCCATGGCGTCACAAAGAGTTGGATATGACTAAGCGACTGAACAACAACAATATAGAATTCATAAGGCTTAAAGAATGGTTAAGACCATCTGGAAAGTTGACTTCCTAAAGTTATATTTAATTTTGCACCTAAATTATATTCACAGTATATACACATAAGAGAGAACTATACAGTTGTTTTTAGAAATGGGGGGAAATCTCTGAATTAATTCAGAGTGATTTCTAGGATATACTGTTAAGTGGAAAAAAATGCCTTAGAATATTACATACAGATAAAATCGAAAACCCCTTCATGACAAAATCATCAAAAAGCTAGGAATAGAAAGGAACATCCTCAACTTGGTAAAAAAAATTATCTAACAAAAACTCATAGCTAACATCATATGTAATGGTTAAAGATTGAAAGCTTTCCTCCTCAGATAAGGAATAAGACAATAATATCCATTCTCACATTTCTATTCAACCTTGTACTACAGGGTCTAGCTAGGGCAACTGGACAAGAAAAAGTAATAAAAGGCATCCAGAATGAAGAAAGAATGTTAAATTTATCTCTATTTACAGAAGATCCTAAGGAATTTACAAGCTTAGCAAGATTGCAAGATAAAAGATCAATTGTATTTCTATAAACTAATAATGAACACTGAAAATGAAACTAACAATTCTATTTACAATAATATAAAAATAATAAAATATTTTGGAATTAATTTAACAAGAGAAGTACAGAACCTGTACACTGAAAACTATAAAATATTGTTGAAAGAAATTAAAGAGGACATAAATGAAAAGACTTTCCATGTTCATGGATCAGAAGATTTAATATTGTCAAGATGGTAATAGTATTCAAAGTGATTTACAGGTTCAATGCAATCCCTGTCAAAGTCCCAAATGGCTTTATTTTTTCAGAAATTGACAAGCTGATCCTAAAATTCATGTGAAAATGCAAAGGACCCGAAATAGCAAAAGCAATCTAGAAAAAGAACAAAGTTAGAAGACTCGTACTTAATTTCAAAACTTACCACAACTCTACAGTGATCAAAACACAGTGGTACTGGCATGAAAACAAACATATAGACCAGTGGAATAGAATTAAGAGTCCAGAAATACACTCTTATATTTATGGTCTATTGATTTCTGTTAAGGGTGCCAGGACAATTCAGTGGGGAAAGATGAGTCTTTTCAACAAATGGTTTTGGGATAGCTGGATAACTACACTCAAAAGAATGAAATTGGACCCCCTATCTCATGCTACATATAAAAATTAGCTATAAATGCATCATAGACCTGAAAGTAAGAGCTATAATGACAAAACTTTTAGAAGAAAACAGGAGTAAATTTTTGTGACTTTGGATTAAACAATGGTTTCTTAAATATTAATGTAACACCAAAAGAACAAGTGAAAAAAGAAACATAGGTAAATTGGACACATCAAAATGAAAAACTTCTGTTTCAAAGAATACCATCAAGAAAGTAAGATGATTCTCATAATAAAAGAAACTATTTGCCAATCATATACTTGATAAGGAACTTGCATTCAGAATATGCAAATAACTCTTACAATTCAGTAACAAAAAAATCCAACTTTATAAAAGGGCAAAGAATTTGAATAGACATTTCTTTTATATATATATACATATATATATATATACAAATAGCCAACAAGCACATGGAAGTATGCTCAATGTCATAAGTAATTAGAAAAATACAAATCAAAGCCACAATGAGATATCATTTTACCCTACTAGGGTGGCTAAAATTAAAAAGACAATAATAAGTGTTAGCAAACTCAAAACATACATATGTCCTTAGAAAAACTTATACTTAAATGTTCATGGCAGTATTATTTATAATAGTCAAAAAGTAAAAACAACTCAAAGTCTGTCAATTGATAAATGGATAAATAAAATGTGGTATATAACATACACTAGAATACTCTTCATCAAAAAAAACCAATAAACAAAACAAAAAGAAAATGAAGTACTGGTACATGCTACAACATGGATGAAACTTGAAAACACTGTGCCTAAGTGAAAAAATTCTGACATAAAAGGCCATATGTTGTACGATTCAATTTATATGAAATGTCTAGAATAGGGAAGTCTACAGAGACAGAAAGTGGATTACTGGTTGCTAGGAGATGAGGAAAGTGAGGGATGGGGACTGACTGCTAGTGGATACAGGATTTCTTTTTGAGAATGAGGAAATTCTGGAATTAGATGGTGGTGATGATGGTATGATCCTGAGAATTATATATTAAAGGGGTGAATTTTATGTTATGTGAATTATATCTCAATAACAACTAAAAAGTTCAAGAGAATATATTTTATGTTACCTTTTGTGACAAAAAGAAGGGCAAATGTATGCTTACTTTTGCAAAAAGAAATACAGGAATGATAAAACAGAAAACAATGAAATCATTTATCTACAAAGGGTAGGAGTGGAGGAACAGGCTATTTTCTGCTGGTTGATTCTAGCTAGTCAATATCACAGCAGTACATACAACAGAAAAATTAAAATTATTAGCAAACCTCTATCAATTAAGAGACCCAGTAAGAATCTAATCATGTGTTACTATGTATTAGGAAAGAAGAAAGGGAGGGGAAGAGGGAAGGAAAGAAAATAAAAAGATGGGGGAAATGGTCAAAAAGGGAGAAAGGGAAGGAGGGAAACGGAAGGATGGGAAGAAAGAAAGGAGGGAGGAGTGTCAAAGTGAGGGGAGGGGAAGGGGGATGGAGGGAGGATGGGGCAGCCTGACAGTAGCATGCCTCCAGCTTCTCTGACAGCTGACCTTGACATCAGCAGGACAGCTCCCACAGGGAGTGTGATAGCAGGATGCCTGCTGAACAGCCACCATTAAAGCATTCTTCTGAGTAGCCTGGCATGCCAGGGTCACTTGCATGTTTTCCACTCCTGAATGGCACAAGAGCTAAAGGAAGAAAATGTGAAAGTAATTAGGAATTTCTCTCATACAGAAAGAGAGTAAGTTGAGGGTGGGGATCACCACTCACTCAACACGTAAATATATGGATCAAACTGTTGGATTTGCCGAGACCCTTGCTCCTCAGCGACAAGCCTAAAGCTGCTTTCTCCCTAAGAAGTATTTCATCCTATGAAGGCAGGTTCTAGGCCTAATTGCTCTGTATCTGGACACCATCAGGTTTCCCCAGTTGTCAGATAAAGGATGCATAGGCTCTGATGAACTAGCAAACATACACTCAAAGGCAGGCTCTTGTAAAACTGCCAACATTAGATTAATGTTTAAAACATACACACACAAATACAAACCTGCACATATACATACAGAAGCAAAGAAGTCCATCTGAGTGGCAGGGAAAGATAACACCAGGTTTGAAAATATCGCTGGACTGCCAGGGAAGCCCCAACATGGGTTGCTTTTTAATACCGAACAGAGGTTATCTCAAGAGGTATTACATGTCAGACAAGGCAAGCCATCATCATTATTAATGAAGGTGGAACCTTTTCTTGTCTATGGGGTCAAACTAGTATGAATTAAACATTATACTTTTTAAGGAATACACAAACAAGTTGCTTAATATTACTTTAGTTTCCTTTTGAGAAAAAAAAATAATTTACCTTAAGAATGGCTTCCTTTGTATAAAAACTGAATTTGCCAATTTGGTTATCATCCACTTCAGAGATAGCTAAGACAAGAGTAGCAGGAGAATATCTGCAAGAAGAAACATGATGTTGTTTTGATGTGCCACACAGTTAGCCAGGAGATGCCTGTTCTGAAGGGACAGAGGCACGTGATCAGCTCTGAAATACCAGTAGTAACAGCAAGGACAGACTTTACACAAGACTTAGTAATTCTACCCAAGAGCTGAAGGGCTCCGGGGTCTTTTTAGTCCTTACTGGCCTCAATCTTCTTGCAGTTTGGGTGTGGTAGCCAACTATCTTAGACTTTCTGAAACTATTCTGATCACTATTCCTTTGCTCTCTTCCATATTTCCTCTTACCTTCTTGACCTCATTTGCACAGGCCCCTCACTGACGTGGCCCCGTTTATTCACTTCCTAAATGCTATCTCATTCTCTCTCCCATGGCTCCAACAATCATCTAAATGGTCTTTGCAGCCATGTTTCTGCCTTGGGACATGGTTCTTTATCCATAACTATAAGACTGTCAAGTAATTTAATATCTAGGAATCTTGGTTTCTTCATCTGTAAATGGAAATATCACCTATCTCAATGGAGATAAGCATGAATGTGCTTCTCAAAATGTAAGTCACTATGCTCATGGTTGGATGGCATCACTGACTCAATGGACATAAGTTTAAACAAGCTCTGAGAGACAGTGAAGGACAGGGAAGCCTGGTGTGCTGCAGTCCATGAGGTGACAAGGAGTTGGATTTGATTTAGCAACTGAACAGCAACAATAATGCTGACTGAACAGCAACAATAATGCTCATGTTTGGTATATGTTGTTGTAATGGCACTCCAAAGTGATAACTTGAAGGAATTAACATACATAAAGCAAATGCAAATTCAAGATACAAGTTCCTTGGATGTAAAAATCTTCCCCTGGTAATTCAGAAAGTGCTTCAGATCTTGAAGGATCTCTGGGTCATCATTGGGAGGACCAACCACCACTTGGCCAGGCCACAGAATATTCAGACAGTTTGTGTTGATTGGTTGATTCTGGCTGAACAAAAATATGGCCTATTTTCACAGCAGTGTAAAATACCAGCTCTGGCAGGAGGCCCTTGATGATCCAGAGAACAGCTTGGCTCCAGGTTGGAGACCTAGCCTCGTTTGAGGCCCAATCACACTTCCTGCCTTCAGCTTCTGTGAGATATCTTTGTATCTTTACAATAAATCACCTTTTTGGCTTAGGTTATATGACAGGATAGAGCATGGGGGATTTTGCTTTCAGGGGACAAGTGGCAATGGCTGGAGACATTTTTGATCATCACAAACGAGGGAAGGCATACTGCTGACATATGGTAGGTAGAGATCGGGGATGTTATTAAACTACCTCTGATGTAAAGAACAGCCCTCTCCAAGAAACAGTTTTCCAACCTCAAATTTCAAATTTCTCAGGTTGAGAAATTCATTCTGTGGTCCTAACCCCTTCATTCCAGCCTATGCTCTCTCCTTTAGCATACTGCTATACTTTGAGCCATGATACACAATAGCAAAGCAAAGGTGACCTTCCCTCCTTTCCTCAAGTCAGCTCTGCCTTCCTTGGGGTGGGACTCCTACCAGGAATCTCCAGGACAGAGCTAAGACCCTCGGGGGAAGACAGACAAGGAAAGAAGAGGGAGATGAGTTTATCCCTGGTACACGTCCAAGACTGACTTTGTATGGGGGGAAAAGATTCCCTTCCCCCACTGAGTAGATTCTGGTCTGTTACTAGTAAGAGTGTTTTCTTTTGGGCAATAGGCTAAACCTATGGGGCATGAAAAAGAGGTTTCACTGGTTTGAGTTGGCTTCTTTTATTGACAAACAAAAGAGCCTGACAGAAATATTGTCATACATGTTAGATATACATTGCATTAGAGTTTTAAGGAAATGGTCACTAAAAAACCTTGAATGACTTTTTCCTGGTCCCAGGGAAAGTAAGAGCAGGGACCTAGGCAGGGATCCATGATTCTTGCCCCATCAGACCAACCCCCACACCCCTTTCTATCTGGAAGCAACATGGTCACCCTGGGCAGCTGCTGAGCCTATGATTCCATCCATGTGAGCTCTCTAATCTGATTCTTCCATTTTTCAGTTATTCACTGTTTTTAATCCAATAATCCCTCTTGATTGAGATCTTATTTTTCCCATCCTATCAAAAAAAAGAAAGGAAAAGAAAATATTGACATCATGGCAGATAGAGGATAAGGGAGAGAATTTAGAATGCAATTGCATTTGTGGTGGTGAGAGAAATTATTTTTCACTGCCATTCTACTGCGTCATTATTTTTACGTTGACTCTCTCAAGGCTCACCTGTCTACACAGTCACTGCCCCCCAGCAGAGAGGTTATGAAGACAGGAGGTGGATGGACCACCTTGTCCTTGTGTGATGCAGATTCAAAGTGAACAGGCCTCAGATACAAATGGAACTCTTCAAAACCCATCTCGCACGCCAAATCCTTATAGAGACTAAAAGAGAAAAAAAAAAAAAGCCAAGAACATTTGCTGTTATTTTCCATAAAAGGAAAGTAAGTGGCAAGAAAACCAAACCATCTGAATAAGCACAAAGCAAAAGTCAAAACAAAAGTAAGCCAAGTCCGGTGTGAAATGAATGACTCACAAAGGTTTTGAGTCTGCCCTCAGCTATGATGGTTAAAGATAGTAGTTAAGGTAGGAGGAGATATGCTTGGGCACTTCCCCAACTCTCATTTCCTGCAAGCTGGCTTCTGTCTTCCGAGCGCTCCTGAGGTCACCATTATTGCTCTCAGTAGAAAGTTGACCATTTTTTCTCAGAGATCCTCGGGGCTGGCCTGTCTGCTGCTTGAACCATTTTGTTCTCCTGAATCCAGGATCTCCATGTTTCTGCCTCATAACCACTGTCTTCACTGGCTTCTCCTTTTTTTTTTTTTGAAGCAGCCCTCCCCCGCCACCTGTGCCATGCCATTGGCCTTGTTGGAGACACTGCAGGACCCCATGCAGGTCACCCAGATGGCTTGGGAGGTGGCCTCCACCAGCCGCTCCCTCAGGCTGTTGATGACACAGTTGCTCATTGCTCTGATGGACCTCAAAGAGCTGCACCCATGCCATGCCAGGGCCCTGGCTAGGGCGGGCCAAGCATCACTGCCCACATCCCGCCACTGGCGCTGCCACTGCTTTGTGGCTTCTCTTTATTTTCAAATTCCTGGTGTTTCCTGAGGTTGCAAACCCAGTCCTCTTCTCACCTTCCCCATGTCCTCCTTGGGAAGTCTGTCATTCAACTCTGGGCCATTACCATCTCCCCTTTGTGTAAGAACCTGTGACCCCATCTCTGTCCTCCTTCAACTCTGAGCTCTACTCCCCCATGACTTGCAGCCAGGCTCCATTCAGGTGTCGCTGTGGCATTTCAGCCTTCTGTGTTTAGAATTCCTTCCTTTCTTCTCTTATCCCCATTTTAACACATTTCTTCATCTTGAGAAGTTGGTACATTAAGGCTGAGTTCAAATGGCACCTACATTAGTTTGTCAGGCTGCTGTGAAACAGTACCATGAACTGGGGGTGGTGGTGCTTAAACAACAGAAATCTGTCTCAGTTCTGGAGGACAGAAGTCCAAGATCAAAGAGTTGCAGGGCTTGTTCCTTCTGAGGGTTTTGAGTGAAGGATCTGTTCTAGGTTCTCTCCTCGTCTTATAGATGTGCATCTCATTCTTATGTCTTCACACAGTTTTCCTTCTGGATATATCTGTGTCCAAACCAGCTCTTCTTAGAAGGACACCAGATATACTACATAGGAGCCCACTCTAAAAACTTCATTTTCTCTGCAAAGACTCCATCTCCAAATAAGGTCACATTCTGAGGTACTAGGGCTTAGGGCTTGGACATTTGAATTTTGGAGGTACGCAATCATCCCTAGGCCTTCTGTGGAGCTTTCTCTGATTCACTTACAAAGAATGAAATACTCCACTTCCTGTGCTCCCATAGTATTTTGTTCATATGACTAGAATATCATATTAAACTTTATTAGGGGTAACTTTTACATTGTGAACTCCCTGAGAACAAGGATCAAAAATTATGAGGAGGTAGTATCATAGTGGTTAATATTATCTTGGCCCATAGTTTGATTTCTGCTTCTACTACTTTCTGGTTATGTGATCTTAGGAAAATTACTTTTCTGAGCCTCTACTTTCTTGGTGGTAAAATGTTTGCAAGCTATATCATAATATCATATCATAAGGACATCATTAATCTATTATAACACAAGAATATTCTGAGAATTAAATGAACTAATACATGGAAAATTCCCAGTACAGACCCTGGACACAGTAGGCCCTGGATCATGGTTTATGGTGGATAATTGGGCTTTCTGTGTCTTCAGGGACTCTCATGGAGCAGAAAACAACAGAACTCATATATGTTTGCAACAAATCCTTAAGTTCCATATTTTTCCTGTTTAGGGAACATGGTCACTTAAATGTCTTACCATCCTCTCACGCTCAAAGCAAAAACAGAACTCAGCAAGCATTCTCTCCCCTTACCTGCTGAACATTTCGTACTTCCACCAGACCTGGATGCTATCACTGACTCATTCTTTCCTTTCTGAAGGCCCTCCACTGGTTCTGCTCTGCTATTCAACTTCATTATATTTGAGCACTCAGTATCATTGGGTGCTTGATGAGGGTTAGTCTTCATACCCAACAGGATACTATGGAAAACAACACGGACAAAGCTCTTACATTTAGGGAGCTTACATGAGCAGGAAAACTAATAAACCAACATCAAGCACCTAATTAAAAGGCAATGGCTGAATGGAGAAAAAGCCCAGGTGCTTAGAGGAGAACCCAGACTAGCTGAGTAGTCAGAGAAGCCTGTTGGGAGACCTGAGAAGAGAAACAGGGAGGGAGGGAAGGTGGAAAGGAGGTCATCATTTCAGTCATTTACAAAGCTCACTCTGGTTACTCTGGGGGCACAGATGGGGCAAGGCTTGCAGTAGGAAGATTCATAGTCTATCACCCTCCATGTGGATCGTGAGTCCCCCTACTGACCGTGCCAAGTGTACACTCTCCAGACTCATCTCTATCAGCCTATGCCGGAGGGTCAAGAGTTCCAAAAGTTTGGAAAACATCTCCAGGAGCAGCATTTGGGAATCTTGGCCTTGGTTCTGTCCTTGGTCTGCTGCAGATTTGAGTGCAAGCACGCCTGTCTCCCCCACAAGAAAGGGATCACCCATCACTTTAGCTGAAAATAGCTGAAAGAAAACAGAATACTTTAAAAAATACAAAATAAAGAAAGAAATCTGAACATATTAAGAAAAATATGTCAGCAGCACAGACTCTGGATCCAGAGTTCCTAGGCTTGAGTCCTAGCTCTGGCACTTACAAGCTACGAGATTTAGGGCAATTCACTCAATTTAACTGTCTCTCAGTTTCATCATCTATAAAGTGGCAGTAAGGATAATAACAGCACCTAACAGGAACTAATAAATCATAACTGTATCATAGGGTTGGTTGAGAGGGTTGAGTTAAATATATACAAAAGCGCTTGGTACATAGCATTTGCTAATATCATTATTATGAATGTTTTAAGCCAAAATAAAGAGAGAAATGACACAGATGACCTAAATAGAAGCCTCTGATACATTTCAAGTATTTTAGTGACCAATGATAATAATGATAATTTTTTATAAACTCTAATTGAAGTTTCAAAATTTTCAAGTATTTTCATGTATATTAACTCATTTTTATTTTCACAAGATCCCCATGACTTGGGAATCACAGATACTATTATGTCCATTTTATCAGTTAGGGATCTGAAGCAACACTGAAATTTTCTAAGGTCAGACAACAGTATCAAGAATAAATTTAGTTTCCCTAGTTTCACGCTGTAGTTTTAGAGTATACCAAGCTGCGTCTTCAATGCTCCTCTGCTCAACTCACCCAAGCCCTGGGTGATTTGTGAAGTTACTACATCGTTCTTTAACATCCTCCTGCCTTGGTCACCGCCTCTGCTCTGACATTTTTGCTAGCTTTTTATATACCACTTCCAGCAAGCACCAAGTCCGGGGACCACCTCTAGTCTGTCTTTCCTGGTTTGGCTTCCCAAGAGTAGATAGACTTATCTACCAAAGGCCTTGCTTACTCAAGGATGCAATTTCTAGACACCTGAAGTCTTCCAAAGTGATGAAGAGATTTATTAATTTCCTGATTGTCTTCTGAGTGCAAGACCTGCCCCATTTTCTGTCCCAGTACAAAAGATTAATCTGAGTATTTATCATTTCTAAGTCCCAATTTGAACATATTTAAAAAGAAAATAATTTAAACTGTATGGCAAATTCTCTGGCGGTCCAGTGGGTAGGACTCGGTGCTTTCACTACTGAGGACCTGGGTAGAATCCCTGGTTGGGGAACTAAGATTCTGAAAGCCATGCAGTGTGATAATCCATCAATCAATAAAAAATAAAACTGTGTGGCATCAATGAGAGATTAAATAGGTAGCCCAGATAGTCACTACATTTTTTAAGAGAACTAAAAATACATTTTAAAAATCTGGTATCATAGTTGCCACTGTTTTAGTCATTAAATCGTGTCCAACTCTTTGCAACCCCATGGACTGTAGTGCACCAGGCTCCCCTCTCCATGGGATTTCCCAGGCAAGAATACTGAAATGGGTTGCCATTTCCTTCTCAGGGGATCTTCCCGATCCAGGGATCAAACCTGGGTCTCCTGCATTGGCAGGCAGATTCTTTGCTATTGAGCCACCAGGAAAACCCTGGTACCATAATACAGTGTGAAAATAATCCTCAAAAAATGGTAGTGGCTACATGGGTGATAATGTGGGGAAAAACTCTGTTTTGAGCCATATCTTACACCACATATTCACTTATACACACATATACACATGCACACACAGTCCAGGTGGAATACTAAAAGGAGTTAAATATTTTTGAAATAAAATAAAAACCTTAAGAAGTTAGAAGTTAGAATAAAGGAAGACAAATATGAAACATCTGGAGGAAGTTTGGCTTTCTGAATTTAGGATAGAAGAAATCACAAAGGAAATGATAAACAGATTTAACTATATGAAAATAAGTTTCTGTTAAAAATTTAAAAGACAAATTGGGGAAAATAGTTGCAGAAAATATTATGGACAAACAGTTAAAGTTTTTTTAAGAAGAGCTCATGTAAGTGGATAGGAATGATATTAGGATTCCAAGAGAACTATAAACTAAGGAGAGGAACAGAACATTCATAAAAAAATACAGCTAGTAACATGACATTTGGAAGAATATTTAATCTCAACAGATAGCAAGGCAAGAAAATTAACAGTGTAATGCCACCTTTATATATCATATGCATATATTAGCACAGACATTATATGCTTACACAGAGTATTGCAGAACTGGTACCCTTAGACACTATCAGTGGTATTACAGTTTGGCACGACTTTTCTGGAAAGTGATCTGCCAACATGTATCCAAAGACTTAAATTTTGTTTCAGTAAATCCAATTCCAAGAAGCTATCCAAAGGAATTGATTCAAAATATGGTAAAATCTGTGAGCATAGAGATGTATCTTATGGAATTTTTAATAATAATAAAACATTGTAAATAACTTGAATGCCCATTGATAGGGAAATAGTTGGATAAATTATCATTCACCACTTAAAGGAATTTTGTGGTCATAAAGGTTAAGTGTGAAGACTATTAGCAACATGGAAGAATTTATAATATGATGCAACTGAGAAAAACAGGAGATGGTATATGAAGGATATGATTAAAAAGAACTATGTAAAATAGGTATATAAAGAATACTTGAATTCAGAAAAAAATGATTACAAATGCATTTGAGTGGTTATATTTAAGGTAATTTTCTGTTTTCCTGTTTGGCTAAAACTCTGAATTCTATTTTTTGATCAACTTTAATTTAAAAGAAAATAAACTTTTGTTTGAACTGGAGATGATAGGTGACTGAGATAGGCCTGGGGAACAGATATTTTTGGCAGCTGAAGCCTTGAAATTTCCTTTATCTTATAGCAAGTACCCACACAGAGTAAGGTCAGATTAGAAACCCAGGTCTCCTGCATTGCAGGTGGATTCTTTACCAACTGAGCCATCAGGGAAGCCCAAGTTCATGGCAGGGCTGAGCTTAGTCCTGATCACTGACTCCTGCTCTCTCTCCTCTACCAGATTTTAGCTCAGGACAAAACAGTACATTTTAACAAGAGTCTTAGAAAGAAGAAAAATTAATTAAAAAATATATATTGTTAAACTATAACCAACCAGAAAATACTTTCCCCCTAGCTGTGTACATTTCCCTTTAAATGATAACTGTAGCAGCACCCCGATAAACTGGAAACGTTGACCAAAATGAACAAAAAAACCCATAAAAATGTTGGCAAGCCCTAGAACTATCTCTGGCCAAACAGGAGGGAAATAGAGCCAAACAAAAACAAAGCTAAGTAGTAACATCTGGGAGGAAACAATCTCTTTGCCAAGGACCCACCTAACCCCTTCAGAGAACCTACATCTTTCTGGAGCTGTGCACTGTACCAGGACTCGGGCTTGGCTGGGGTGAGCCACGCATCCAGGGCCAGCTGCAGCACACGTCTCTCCAGCAAGGTGAAGGCAATGGCTGATGTGGGCCTGCAAGTGTGGCGGGCCTCCCTGAGGAGGTGCTCGAGGGCCCTGGGGATACAGGAAGCCAGGCCCAAGGAAGGGTGGAACTCCAGCAGATAAATGTTTTTCAAAGCTGAGCTTAATGAAAAGAAACAATTAATGACAATTTTACATGATGAAGAACTTAATCTGTTTCCAGATCTTATATTTTTCAAGACCAATAAAACAGTCTTACAATCCAGGGCATTATAAAAAACTGGAAGCTCAACAGGGCCTTAGAGGCTGTCCAGGGAGCCCAACAGATTACACAACATGCTTTTTGCTTTAATATGAACTTTTTTAAAGACATAGTTTACTCTAAAATCCAGTAAGAATAAGATTCATTGTACATCACATCATTATGCTGTACACCTTAAATTTATATATGCGTGCATGCTAAGCTGCTTCAGTTGTGTCAGACTCTTAGCGACCCTATGGACAGCAGCCCACCATGGGATTCTCCAGGCAAGAATACTGGAGTGAATTGCCATGCCTTCCTCCAGGGGATCTTCCCAACTCAGGGACTGAACATGCCTCTCTTATGTCTCCTGCATTGGCAAGCAGGTTCTTTACCACAAGTGCCATCTGGCAAGCTCAAATTTATACAGTGCTGTATGTCAATTGTATCTCAACGAAATAGAAAAAAAAAATCTAAAATTGTATATGTAAAACCTGTCAACATTTCATTAGCCAAATATTTGAGAACAAGATAACTTCAAAGTGTCTAAATATTAAACAAATACCTTCCATGACTATTTCTATTTTTCACCTGATTCTTGATCCCTTTTTCTTCCCAAAATGATAATGAAGATGGTTTTTGAGTTCTGTATACAAGTATTGGAATCATTCATGCTTGCCATAAAAACGTTATATTGTATAAATGAATGGGGTCAGAAACAATAAAACACTTGTCTGTGGGTTATCCCTTTGGAAATAAAGGGTATAGTATCAGTCAAGTCAAGGGCCTTTCTATACCTACATGGAACACAAGCTCCAAACCAGCTTGGAGCCTGTCACCAGCTTCTTGGTTCCTCTGTACCCTCAAAGCCTGGGAAGGCACTGTAAGGGTGAATCACACTGCATATCAAGGAGGTGACCTTATGTACTCTCTCCAGGTGATCTCAGGAAATGCAATCTACTACTTAAAGCGGTGGGGTGGGGGTCACAAGATGAGTCTGCTGAAACCTTTCTGCTGACACTTGCTAGAAAAAAGAAATTCCTTTTTAAAAATTTTAAGCACATCTATGTTTCATATATGTTGACCTGCATGGCACCTCTAATAAATCCTTTGACAGCATTTTAAGAGCAACTGCGTTTTTCAGGACTTCTCATGGGAATGAAGATTCTGCACCCAGGGGCATAAGTGTAAATTCTGGCCTCCTATTCCTTATTTGCAAAGTGAATCAAGTTCACAAAGGAATCCCTCTTCTATGATTCTTATATTTACTTCTCTCATCACCAAATACTTGAGAGGTGCTTTGTAGAATAGCAGTAGACTTAACAACATACCCTTTAATTATCCAGAAATTAAATGTAAAATGTCTAAAGACAACACCAACTTACCAGCTATTGTTGATGGAAATGAGTTGTTTGCAAATGATGTTAAGGGGAAGTCCAAATGTATTGCTAGCATCTGGATGGCCTTTTTGCCAAAGCCTCTGGACATACTCACGCTGACACTCTATCTAGAAATGTCACATAAAAGTTAAAATTAGAAAAGTTAGACTTTCCCATGGATGTGAGTTATGAGCCTTGGCGTGAGAAGAACAGATCATCAGCCCTTTGCGTATCTTCATTATTTGACTAATTTTCGCCCAGACATGAGTTTTAGGGATTCCCTCACACAGAGGCATGGTTATTTTTTAGTCTCAGGCAAGGATCAGCCAGGAAAAGCAAAGGCAACCAGCTTTAGGCAATCTTAAGAAGCACAAGAAAACTTCTTTCTGTAAAATAATTGACTACAAGCAAAAAATTCTAAGCAGGCCTAAGGAACTGTATTAGCTTTTCCCTGGAAGTCATAGACTGTGACCATTTCCTATAGTGTTATAGAAATAGTTGCAACCTTTTAAAAAATAAATATAACTTTACACATTTAATGTCTTACAAAGGGGTAGGCTTAGTCCTTTCACTATAGATGAACTGTGATTGGATGAAAATAGGTTGCCAATTCTTTGTGGATCATTAAATGTAATTAGGATTGGAAACCTCCCTTTAAGACTGTAGTTATGCTTGAAATTCAACAATGCAAATAAGCTTACAAACAAACATTGTGTACATGCTGTCCTAGAAAACCCAGATTCTGAATCGGTACTGAAAGGAAAATACAGTTTTCAGTTTTGACCTGTGTTTTCCATCCCCTTCTCACATGGAATCTTAAAAAACCCAAATATACTCACGTGCTGGTTGAGGATGCCCCTCACCAGCTGCAGGTGAAGCCTCAGGCAGGTGCATTCCTCTCGGTAGGCCTTAATGAAGTAAGGATGACTGAAGTCAAACCTTGGGCACCTGTGCATGATGTCTGTGATCACTTGTGCTAAGGCAAACCTCTCCTCTGGGTCCAATGCATGCTGGTAGGCTTCAAAGTAACTGTCAAGAAGCTGTAAATAAGGTTTATAGTCAGGGGACAGGGCCCACAAAGGAAGAGAGGTGAACTCCCAACCATTTCCATGCTTTGGAAAGCCCCCCCGCCCCCATCAATAGGCGAGACAGCCCTGCACCTCCGGGTACCAGCCCTGGGTGGGCAGCCGCAGCACCAGTGCAGCACAGACCAAGTTAGGGAGGGTGAGGGAGAAAGCACTCATCGCACCTCTGTCCCCCCCTCCTCTGCTCTCTACACACAAAAGGGGAGTGATATCATGAATAACACAACATCTAACAATTACAAGTTCCAATGAGACAGTGCATTCAGTCTCACTTCATCAAATACGTTTATCTTCAACACCTTTTCCCACAGGCCCACTTTCCTCCCCCTATTTTATTCTATTACCAAAGGTAGGCAGGTAGCCTCCACCCCTCTTCTACATCATCAGCCCCATTTATGACACCTTCTCTTCAATAGCTTGCCTATTTAAGTTTCACATATGTAGAAATGGTGGGGGAGGGGTTAGAATGGCAAGTGGAAGATGCAAGTCCCCTCTAAACATAAAGGCATTTATTCCAGATCACACTCCACTGCTGCTGCTGCTGCTAAGTTGCTTCAGTCGTGTCCGACTCTGTGCGACCCCATTGACTGCAGCCCACCAGGCTCCCCCATCCCTGGGATTCTCCAGGCAAGAACACTAGAGTGGGTTGCCATTTCCTTCTCCACACACTCCACTAGGAAGGGCCTATGTACAGAACTCTCAAGAGCATCCGGGAAGTTTCTGTTTTACTAGAGTTCACAAGTCTTTTCTAAAAACTGAAGAAGGCTTCCCCACACTAACTATTGAAGAAACTCAGAAAGATATGCTCTTTATTTTGTTTTTACATTTGTTTATGAAATTAGGGAATTTCTGTTCTGTGTGTAAACTTTATTTGTGTATAATTAGTCATGGTGCTAATCAGAAAAAGCTCTTCAGAGTTCACTGGACTGGAATCCCAAACAGTTACCTAAGAGCTGATATGCAAGTAGTTCTAAACAATGTAGTTACTCTTTTTGGGTTGTTTTTAAAACTTTCATAGGCCTTAGACACACTTACTTTTGGAGACCCCGTCCCATACTGTCAGGCGAGTGTACAGTTTTTGTCTCGTCACTACAAAGTTTTGGAGTGACAGACATTAAAGCCCCCCTCAGCATGTCACAGCTCCCGGGTCTCGGACAGACTAAACACTGAGTCTGTATCACCTGATGGACAAAATCAACTCTGGCTGAAAGCTTCTGAACTTCTGCTCCCACCAGTCTCACAATGCAATGGATTCCTTTCCTCTGCCCAAATAATCCAACATCATCCCTAGAGTTTCAGCTCAACATGCCCCTCCTCAGTCTTCTCTGACCCAGTCCTCTAATGCCGGCTTCATGCTCCCGAAAGGCCTCAGCTCCTAGGGTGGCTGTAGCACAAGGACACAGGTGTGCCCCGTGAGTTCATGTAGTTGACAGCAAGGAGTGGACTGTTGAGTCTGCAATTTTTGCCAACCTGATAGCCAAGCACACTCTGAGACGCATTAGAGCATTTTTTGTTTCCTTGGGTAGTGGTCTTCCTGGTGGTTTGAGGCCTGGGAGCCAGCCCACTTCTTAACAAACTAAGGAATTTCCTAAAAGGAGACAAAGAGCACCTTTCATTGTGTGGAGTCCATAGCTAAGAATGAAAGACCAGGAAGAACCGAGAGGGGGTAAGCACTGCTTGAATGTAGGTGGCAACAGCTCAGGAGGACGTAAAGGACCCCAAGTGGTAGGAAAAGCCAGGAGTGTCTCCATCTTGCAATAATAACTCCTGAGGCTCCTAAGAAGGGAAACACTTGAGAATCAATTGAAGCCTAGGAATCAAATACTGCCTTAGCAATAGATGTCCAGTGTCTGAAGGCTATTCAATGCTAAGGCTCAAGGAGGGAGAGCCTGGGGCCCTTTATTTAGCATCCAGTTTTGCACTTTGGGAAACACTGGTCCACGGGAACGTGGGTCAACCTTAGTATACAAAGGATAACACCAGGAGAAGCTAAAAGCTTAGGACACAGAGTGTGCTCCACAAGTTAAAAACTCACACACCTCAGAGCGTGAAATGAAGAAAGGTGCAGATCCCTTGTCTTTAAGTGAGCCTCAGGGAAAATGAAGCCAGCAGAGTGATCTAAATGACCTTATTCCAACCACAGAGCTCTCTAGAGTAGCATTCAGTTATTAAATAGCAGAAGACAAAGCGGGAACAAAGGAGTGATGGGGTTAAGAAGGCTGTCACTCAATAGCCTAGTGGAAGATTAGGAAAGAAACAGTAACTTCCCTAAATCATTCTCAATGAATCTAAACCTTTTTGGCTGGACCAGGGCAATCCCAGGAGCTGGTTTATAGAATTTGTACTGCTGTGACCTGTTTTTGTACAATGAGCCCTATTGTTTGGTTACTTGGCAGGGGAAGATTGTGGGGAGGGTTCTTGCTAGTGATTCTCATCTGGTGATACCAGGTTGCAGAGGTAGGTGCTAAATTGCCATCATCACTTTGTTGTTGGTAGAATTACCAGGTTTAACAAATAAAAATACAGGTCATCTAATTAAATTTGAATTGCCGATAAACAACCAATACTTTTTTTAGTATGTCACAAATATTGTCATATTTTACCTGGCACCCCCAGTTGTTGAGAAGGAAAATGTGGCTCTTTTTAAATGGAAAAGCCTTTTTTCAAGCTTTGCCCTCCACCTTGAAAAGCTCTCAGATGGCCCTTTGCATAATTTTATTATGAATTCTTTCTCATCAGGGGTAGGGCCGTGATCTTTACACCTCACAGGTTCTATTTATTATCTGTTTGCTAACTGGCTCATTTCCATTTGAACTCTGGACTGGCATTTGTCTAAGAAGTCTTCCTAGCCTGTCAAATGTCACCTGTGTATGTCAAGGACCAACTTGCAGGCAAAATAATGTGTGGTGCACACTGATGGTAGGCATCAAATATTGGAGAAAATAGAAAAGAGCCTGAATGAATAACCTCAAACCATACTGTGTTTATAGACTTTTTTTTTAAACCTAAGCCTCTTTTTATTTCTTGGATTTAAAAAATCTTTTAAAGACAGTACTTTAGATCAAATGAAAGTGTAAAAGAGAAAATCAGTGTCAGACACATCTTGTCACAGAATTTTCTGCTCCCCACGCCCAGCCGCCTTTTTTTTTTACTGCTCTAAACACTAATTCAAATTATCCTGAAAATGTGTCCTCTGGTGGCTGTGGAGAGAATTAGCAGTTGGTATAAATGTCACTTAGGAACTGGCACAGCTGATGCCTGGCTTTTGAGTCTCTTAATCCACCTAAAATCATACCAGCTCTATTTTTATGAGCAGTTTATATAATATGGCTACTTGAAGGATTTAAGGCAACCTAATGTGTTTGAGCAATTTTTAACTTTAGCGATTCTAATATATTTAACAATCAAAAACAGCTGAAGACACTTAGCAGTAGAATCAGTACTGGGAGAATCAATTGTATTCTAGGTAAAAGTCTGGTTTATCAATTAAAAATAGGCTCTTTTGACAATTTCTGGAATTCCAGAAATTGATTTGGAAGGCTTCATTTTCCAGTTTTTGGCACAGATAAGTCAGTTTCTACAGGGAACTTATTTTCAGGGTAGAAAGGAGGGAGATTATTTTCAATGGTTGTTTTAAGTTCAAATATTTTCATGTACCAAAGAAGAAACTAGTAGACAGCCCTGATAACTTAGCACAGAATGAACACTAGGCCAAAGTGAGGAGAAATTGGTTTGTTTATTTATTACTCTCTGCCTTCTGTTCTTCTCTACCATCAAGTCCTCTATAGGAAGCCTAGAAGAACTAAAAACAGAGGTGGGGAGAGCACAGAAAAGGGGTACTGCCTACAACTCATGTCTGGCCCAATAAACATGTCAAGTTTGAGGATTTTGTATTACTTACATTTAATGCAGCCTCTCCAGATTCTATACTATGAGGCTAAATCTCCCATTTACTCAGTAGATCACAGTAAGCTTCTAATTGACAGATCAAGTGTCCAGATGCACACTCTAGAGGTCAGTTGTCTTTGGAAAGAGGAACAATTTTCAAAGCTACAGCTTGCACCCTATAAGTCTAGCCAGTTGTTTTCCAAAATTGGATGATCTACATCTCCATGAGTAACAGACCGGAGAGTAGATGAAATGGTAAAATCCTCTACTAGAAAAACAATTAAAGAAAACATTTCCACTTCCACATTCTCTTACCACATTACAGTGTACTGTAACCTGGTTCCCATCTCTGTTACTCTTTTGAGAGACTCCTACAAAGCTAACAATGACTGCCTGATGGTTAACCCCACTGTCTGGTTTTTAGGACTCACATTCTTTGATGTTTCAACTGTTCTCCACACAGGTAATAATCCTCTCTTAATTAAGACTCTCTTCTTTCTGTGGGATTTCCTAATGTTATCCTTTTCTTTTTGCTGCAGTCTCTCTGGCTACTCCTTGTTCTTCTCATGGATTCTTGTCCCATGACCTTCCCCTTAAATGTAAGTGTTCTCAGGGACCCATTTCAGACATCTCTTTTACTACTCATTTTGATACATTACTATGGTATGACTTCCACATTTATACCTCAGCTCATACCTGCTCCTGAACTTCAAACCTACAGCTCCCGTAAAACATTCATGCATGCATGCTAAGTTGCTTTAGTCGTGTCCAACTCTGCGACGCTATGGGCTGTAGCCTGCCAGGCTCCTCTGTCCATGAGATTCTCTAGGCAAGAATACTGGAGTGGGTTGCCATGCCCTCCTCCAGGGGATCTTCCCAATTCAGGGATCGAACCTATGTCTCTTAGGTCTCCTGCATTAGCAGGCAGATTCTTTACCACTAGTGCCACCTGGGAAGACATTCACACCTGGGTTTTAGCAAACTCTCCTCACACGCCTTGTGTCCTAGACTCAAAAAAACCTTCCCCTCTAAAGAGGCCCCTCTTCTTTCATTCTGTTTCAGTTAACAGCCTCCTCTCTGAGCTTGAGGAAGTCATTTTAATTCCACCCTCATTCTCTCATGCCAACATCTAGTCTTCAAATCCCGTCATTTCCATTTCTGGAAATCCTTGCCCAACTGCTCTCACCCACCCACGTGTGGCCTACCCTTCTAAAGACCATAATAAGGTCTGTTGGTTTGTCTGCATTTAGCAAAGTGAGGCCTGTCCCTGACAGCACAATGAACACGAATGGAATCATCATGCCTTCTCACCAGAAGCATACATGTCATAAAAGGGCCTAAATTATACAGCCCTCTAACAAATTTCCCTTAAGCTGAAGCCATATCCTTCACATTTCATTTTTTTGTAACAAAGAAGCACAGTAAAGAACATAAAATTGATTATATACTTACAACTAGCTAAGATTTTTAAAATACTTATTCACTTCATTGGGAGTTGCCCTATAAGACCCACGGGGTTTAAAAAAATATATTGGGTTTTATAGGAATGTTCTTAATAGGTGTTTTGTTTTCTAGGCAAAAATACCTGACGCTTGCTTTCTAGAAGAGCTGCTTCCCAAGTCCACATGTCATACAGCACAGCAAATCTGTCCACACCTGCATGGGTCCATCCCCAGTCCTGGTCAATATGTGACTTGCTGCCCTCTTTGTGACCTGGGAGAGAAAAGGATGAAAATGATTAGAGACAGGCCTCACTACAGAGGTATTCCTAGTAGAAATGGAGCCCTCAGATTGTCAGCTCCCCTTCAGGAATGAAAACACTGAAGGGGTAACGGATTCCTAATAATCTGCTAAAGAGACATGGGCAAGACTAGGTAGGCCTTAAGTTCATACTTGCTGACTTCTAGATCAACAGAGGTTTTTGCTTTTACTTTTAGTTTGAAAAGACTAATTTTAGAAATATAAACCAAAATTCAGTTAACATGAAAGATTTACTAAAATCTCCTCAAACCTGTAATTTAAAAGCAAAACATACATTTCTCCTCTGTAAAAACAGGTTCCTGGTGGTTTAACTACAAACCTAGTTTAAACTGCTGTATCAGTTGATGCCAACCAAGTCAAAAAATTTCAGGGAAATTTCTAAGGTATTTCTTAGTTGTGCTAATTACTAACTTAAATCAGTAAGGGTAACCATTGCCATTATTTAGCTAAAATATTTTCCCACTATAGCACTGTAGGTTTTCATTGACAGCATTATTATTGCTTAAAATTTTAAGCAGTCTGTTTCAGAATAAAATATTAAGAAGTAAGGGATTTTCAGGTTTAGTGATTATCAAGTATATGGTGGGTACTGAACAATAGAAAGCCATTGGTCAGGAATTTCTCCAGCAGCAGTTGGGAAATCATTTCACAATAAATGACCGTATACTCACTAGTTCAGTGAGACATACTCATGTGACTAAGTATTTCAGTCAAAGTAAGTTCCTAGTAGCTAAACACAGTCACATCATATTATAAATGAACATCAGCAAAAATGATGCGTTGGTATGTAGGATCACCAATAAAGATAAAAGCTAAAAGTTGAAATTAGGTGCCCTGGAATGTTGGATGTCATCACTGCATCCCATGATTCAGATCCCAAGTGGTCTGTGGCAAAGGGAGAACAAAGAATTCAATCTAATACTAAATTAATTCTGTCTGGGATCTGAAAGGTTAATTGTCAAACAGTCTTAGAGCAGCATTTTATAACAATATGAACATGAATTATCCTTAATTAAAGTCTACATATATTACAAAATAGCACAATCTCTTGCTAAATTTTCCTCTAGGTATTGCAATTCATCTAGAAACTCTAATTTCTTTACAGATAGAATACTAATGCCATCATATTATTCCAACAGGAATATTCTTACCTCTTCGATTCCTAAAACTGGATAAATTTGAGTGATGCCAAAAGAAAGACAGAATACAGATTATGGGTTATTTGATTACCCTGACTAATGATTTCTCCCTCTGGGGCTTGTCTGACATTTTCCTAGACAGGTCTTGCATCCTGGTGGTTTTTTGTTAGGAACTCAGAAATATCTCTGCTTCTAACTGCAGTTTCCCCAAGGTCAATTATTTCTTTTTTTTGTCACTTAGAAAAAAAAGTCATTAATTTCACTAGATTACTTTGCTTGCCTCAGGGCCCTGCACCTAGTACGTAATGCAGAAATGCTACTGGGCAACAAGTAGAGTCTAAACAACAATAAGAACTATAACCAAGTTACAGTTTCCAACAAATGGGGGACTTGAGCTGGAAACAAAACATTATCTTTTCTAGGGTGGTGTGTGTTGGGGAGGTATAAATGCTTGTTGGATTTTCCAATACTATTATACGTGTGTTATAGTTTAAGGTGGGAGGTGTTATAGAGCCCTTGATGTTTTTTGTCTGTTTGGATAGGTAGATTTTTGTCTGGTTGATTTTTAAAAATCTGACTTCTGACCTTTTTCTCTCTCAATGTAATGGCTGGCCACAAGCAGCAGTTCTGTCTCTAGGTCCTTCAGATCACTCAAGGCTTCATCATACATGACATACACTCCTTGCTGGTCCTGGGTGTGGATGTAACCAGCATCCATGCTGTAGTAATCATCCTGGTTCTCCACTTCTGAGAACTCCATGAATTGGATGCTCTGGACCTGGGAAAGAAAGCCAAGACTGGAAGTTACCAGAACAGGGAGAAAAATATTTTGCCAGCTCAAATGGACAAAATGGTAGGTTTCTGTTCCCACAGAGTGGGCTGTCAGCATGGAGCTGTAGACACAATGAATGCATAAAGAGCTAGCTATATGTAGGGGAAAAGACAACAACAAATGTCAGGGAAGAGTAGTTCCTAAGATGGAGAGATTAACCAGTTGATTAAATTTTATAATTAATTCAGGATTATCTGGGAAAAGGTAGACAATAGAGCCAAGGGATAAGGGTGGTCTCTGAAGCCAGAGTGCTTGTGTTTAGGTCCTGGGGCTTCCCAGGTGGTGCTAGAGGTAAAAGAACCCGCATGCCATTGCAGGAGGTGTAAGAGATGTGGGTTTGATTCCTGGGTTGGGGAGATCCCCTGGAGGAGGGCATGGCAATCCACTCCAGTATTCTTCACCCCACCCCAGATTTCAAACTATATGAGAAAGCTATAGTAATCAAAACAGTATGACATTGTCACAAAAAAATTGGATAAATGAAACAGAATATAGAGCCAAGAAATAAACCAACACATATATGGCCAATTAATTTACCACAAAAGAGGCATTCATATACAATGAGATAAGGACAATCTCTGTAGTTCTTTTTTCCTTACTGGGAAAAATGAACAGCCACATGCAAAAGTGTTAAACTGGACCATTAGTTTACATTATATATTAAAAACTTACTCATAATGGATTAAAGACCTAAATGTAAGACTAGAAACCATAAAGTTCTAATGAAAAAACATATATGGTAAATTCCTCATTATCACACTTGGCGATATTTTTATATCTGACCAAAATAGTAATGGCAACAAAACAAATACGTGATTAAAAAATAATTTTTAATGAAGAATGTGAATTCAGTGAAAAGAACATTTTTTTTTTTTACAAGAAATACAATTTATTATTTGTTTGCTTCTCTGAGGGCTCAACACGTGGCATAATGTACCATGCGATACCCAGATTAAAAGCATGGCTTTGGTGGTTAGGGCTTTAAGTAAGAATAGAAAATTCATCTTCATCATCATGTATGCATGCATGCTCAGTCATGTGTGACTCTTAGCAACCCCATGGACCGTAGCCCATTAGGCTCCTCTGTCCATGGGATTCTCCAGGCAAGAATACTCGAGTGGGTTGCCATTCCCATCCATGGCCACTCCAGTATTCTTGCTTGGAGAATCCCATGGACAGAGGAGCCTGGCGGGCTACAGCATTTAGGGTCACAAGATTCTGACATGATTGAAGCAACTGAGCACGCATGCACTCTGCCAGGATCTCACTTTAAGCAAGTTACTTAGTCTTTAGACTCCATTTCTTCATCTATCACATGGGGACAGTGGAGACACTACAAGGTTTGTTGCATATGATACCATATGTGTATGTTTGGCCTCACATGTATATGAGGCCCTTGAGATCTATAATCCGCTATTTCTTTTAATCTTATAAATACTTCTAAAGTGCATTAACACAGTCTCATGACTTGGTGTCCTCTCAAAATTCACGTCCACTTGAAACTTGTGAATGTGGCCTTATTTGGAAATAGTTTTTGCAGATGTACACAAGGTAAAATGGGGTCATACTGGATTAAGGTGAGTCTCAATCCAATGACTGGTGTTCTTGTAAAAAGAGGAAATTTGGAAACAGACACATAGGAGAGAAGGCCACTTGGAGGCAGAGGCAGAAACTGGAATAATGCATCTATAAGCCAAGGAACACCAAGGATTGCTGGCAACTATCAGAAGTCAGAGAGGTAACGAGGATTTTCCCTTGGGGCCTTCAGAGACAGCATGATCCTGCTGACACCTTGATTTTTGGACTGTTTTCAGAATCTAAGAGAATAAATTTCTCTCCCAGCTGTTGTGAGCCACTCACTTTGTGGTACTTTGTTACGGCAACTGTAGGAAACTAACACAAGTTTCGAGTAGTCCAATCATAATTTTATTTTTAGATGACCAAGGGCCTATCACTTCCTGGGAATCATTATTCTCATAACAACTCTCATAATTTCAAACTCCTCTACCCTGTTCCTCACTCCCAATGTCCAGCCTCCCTCAGTCTCAGCTGATGCCCCTCCACTTCTCCATTTACACACAAACCCACCACACTGCCCCTCTTCCATTGCTCCCTCTGCACTGTAGGGGCCCATTACACTCCCCTTCCCGAAGGTCATTCCCGCCTGCTCTGCAGCATCTCTTCTCCTTGGACAGCCAACTCATCTCAAACAGAGATTTCCCAGCTGACACTGCTACATGCCCCTGGCCCTCTTATTTTAAAACATCCTCACACCCTTCCACCTTATGTCCCTCCTTCTCACAGTCCAACCCCTCCTATAACATCATCTGTCTCCTTCTCCTCACCTCCTACTTCTCACCCATTCCCATCTAGCTCCTGTCTCCATTAAGCCACCTGAACCACTTTTACAAAGACCAACAAGGACCATCCAGCAGACTTTCTATAGTTATCTTTATGTAATCTCTCAGGAAGATTTGACACGGTTTAGCATTCCCTGCTTACTGACCCACTTTCTGTGCTGGCTTTCTGGGATTCCACATTTTCCTTGCTATCACCAATTTTTCAGCCACTTCTTCTTTATCAGGTCATCAAATAGTGGCCCACACTCAAGCTCCTAGGACTTCCATCTTTTCTTCCAATAGTCCTTCACCTGAAGACTGTACACTTTCACAGCTGAAATAACCATCTTTAGACCATTTGCTCCCCAGTTTATATCTCCAATCCAGACCTCCTAGAATTCCAGACCCACATATACAATTATCTATTTAGCGTCTGTTCCTGGGCATCTCAAAAGCCCCTCAAATTTAACATGATCAAATCATGTGCTCTCCCCCACAAACCTAGGCCGCCTCCAGTTTCCCCATTTAGTAAATAACACCACCACCCATCTACTTCCTCTAGCATGAATCATTCCAGATGTCTCTTTCTATCTCACCCTACATGTCCAATCTATCACTAAGTCCTGTTGATTTTACTTCCTATGTCTCAAATCCAGCCAATTGCATCTCCACCACCCACCACCCTAATCCAAGCTGTCACTATCTGGCACTAGAACTAGTCTAGCAACTTCTAAACAGGTTTAGTCTGTTAAATGGTCTGTCCACTTTCCTTCTAGCATGGGCTTATTCTCCCCTCCATTTTATTCACTACTAGCAGAGGATCTTTTATAAATGGAGCTTAGATTATGTTATCCATTCTCCCCTTTAACATCTAAAGCCAAAAAAAAAAAAAAAAAAACCCCACATCTAAAGCCTCTAAAAGCTTCCCATTGCTCATAGTACAAAACAAAACTCCATAAAAGGACCTACATGGTCTGCTCCCTGCCTATCTCTATCCAGTGGTTTTGAACCAAATGTGATTTTGCCCTCAGAGGACATTTGGCCATGTCTGGAGACTTTTTGGTTACTATAACTTGGGGGAGATGCTATTGGCATCTAGTGGGTAGGGGCCAGGGGTGCTTCCAAATGTTCCACAGTACACAAGACAGTCTCTCACAGTAAAGAATTATCAGACCCAAAATGTCAATAGTGCCAACGTTGAGAAACCTTGGGTTACTTTCATTTTATACCACTTTCCACCTGGATTACTGTGTCCCAGCCATTCATGTATTCTTTTGATTTCCTCTGGGTACCATGCTTCTCTGGCCACAGGTCCTTTGCACAGACTATATATCCTTTCTTTGTGGAATTGCTAGACATTTGTTGTTCACTTGCTCAGTTGTGTCCAACTCTTTGTGACCCTATGGACTGCAGCAGACCAGGCTTCCCTGTCCTTCACTATCTCCCAGAGTTTGCTCAAACTCATGTCCATTGAGTTAGTGATGCCATCCAACCACCTTAGCCTCTGTCATCCCCTTCTCCTCCTGTCTTCAGTCTTTCTCAGCATAAGGGTCTTTTCCATGAGTCAGTTTTTCACATCAGGTGGCCAAAGTATTGGACTTCAGCTTTAGCATCAGTCCTTCCAATGAATATTCAGGACTGATTTCCTTTAGGATTGACTACCTTGATCTCCTTGCTATCCAAGGGACTCTCAAGAGTCTTCTCCAGCACCACAATTTGAAGACGTCGATTCTTCCACACTCAGGCTTTTCTATTGTCCAGATCTCACATCCATACGCTACTGGAAAACCATAGCTTTGACTATACGGACCTTTGTAGGCAAAGTAATGTCTCTGCTTTTAAATATACTGTCTAGGCTTGTCATAACTTTTCTTCCAAGAAACAAGTGTCTTCTAATTTCATGGCTGCAGTCACTATCTGCAGTGATTTTGGAACCCAAGAAAATAAAGTCTGTCACTGTTTTCATTGTTTCCCCATCTATTTGCCATGAAGTGATGGAACTGGATGCTATGATCTTAGTTTCTTGAATGCTGAGTTTTAAGCCAGCTTTTTCACTCTCCTCTTTCACCTTCATCAAGAAGCTCTTTAATTCCTCTTTGCTTTCTGCCAGAAGGGTGGTATTATCTGCATATCTGAGGTTATTGATGTTTCTCCCAGCAATCTTGATTTCAGCTTGTGATTTATCCAGGCCGGTGATGTACTCTACATTTAAGTTAAATAAGCAGGGTGACAATATACAGCCTTGATGTAATCCTTTCCCAATTTGGAAGCAGTCTGTTGTTCCATGTCTGGTTCTAACTGTTGCTTCTTGACCTGCATACAGGTTTCTCAGGAGGCAGGTAAGGTGGTCTGGTATTCCCATCTCTTTAAGAATTTTCCACAGTTTGTTGTAATCCACACAGGCAAATGTTTTAGCATAGTCAATGAAGCAGATGTGTTTCTTTTTTTATTCCCTTGCTTTTTCTATGATTTAAGATATTGGTAATTTGATCTCTGGTTCCTCTGCCTTTTCTAAATCCAGTTTGTACATCTGGAAGTTCTATGTTCATACACTGTTGAAGCCTAGCTTGATGGTATTTGAACATTATTTTGCTACCATGTGAAATG